TGTTGTTGTCTGCGGTCTAGTACAAGAAAGGTGGCAGATCGACTTGTATTAGGAGCCAATTTAACTTAGCATTTTATCAAACTTCAATTAATCAAATAATAATGCCACTTCTTTTTATATTATTTTTATTTATCGTCTCGAGATTAGATCTAATCTCCCATATTGAAATTCCAAAATTCCCAAATAATCACTTTCATGTAGCTTCTGAAATCAAAGCTATAACTAATGTACCTATAGTAATTAATTAGCATCATATTGAAGGAACGTAAAACGGTAAAAGTTTCATTTTTTTTATTGTTTGTTTTTTAAATTTTTTGCCCCCCCCCCCAAAAAAAAAAAAAAAAAAAAAAAAAAAAACAAACTAATGTCTCATGTTAAACTCATATTTATAAATTATAACCCTTTATAATAGATGGTTAGTCCATAAGATAGGGTTTATGTGTACTCGTATTATTTTTAATTTGTGAAGACTAATGTCTCATGTTAAATACAAGGTAATAATAATATTACATCACTTTTCCTATATTTCATCACAACTCAATATGAAATTTATAGAGATCAATAATAAAGAAAAAAAAAATTACAAGCAAAATTAAATTTTGAGAATGGAAATGCATTGCATGAGAATTTCTTTACATGTAATTAAATTATATTATTATAAAAAACATCATCAGTTATGTACGGCATATCAAATGTGTCTTAACGTTATTTAATTTATAACTTATGTTTATTCTTCCCTTAACAATCAGTGGTTCCTGCAGGCGCCGATACGCTGTATTGTACAGCCGTTTTGCATGAAAGAACATAATATAGAAAAGTGAAGAACATATAACTATAATGAAAAAAACATACTATTAAAATGTAATGAACATATACCCTTCAGTGAAAAAAACATATTTACACCAAAAAAAAGTGAAAATAACATATGTTCATGTTATTTGATTATCTGTATAATGTGCTTTTATTTGTGACATAATGCTCATTGCTTATTGTTAAATGTTCTTTGAATTTTGTCTCCAAATTATAGTGGATATATATAAATAATGTTCATTACATAATATTATCATGTTCTTTATTGATATTACATATGTTCTTTAGATTATAAAAAAAAAATAAAAAATAAAAAATAAAGCTGGATGTTCTTTACAAAACAGCTATATGTTCTTTATAAAACAGTTGTATGTTATTTATAAAACATATACATATACATGTTCATTCGGCGTTTTTTGTCTGTACCAAGCATGGTACATGGTACAGACGCCTGTACCTTAAAATTTTCATTCCCTTAATTGTTTGAGACTTTTCATCATTAATACAACCTTTTGGAATAATTTATAGGATTAGCAACTCATAAAAATAGTATTAGTAAACATCTAATATACTTTCATTGTATTGCATCCAACATATATAAATAGCATCCAAATGTATGTCTATTTTCTCCTTGTGATAATTGATTATGGTACGTTTTCAACCCTAGACACGCTAGTTAATGTCAGCCATAATTGGAATTTAAATTTGGATCAATTTCAATTCAAGTTTTCCTTAATCTTCTCTGAATATCTTTTTCATTCTTCCTACTATCAAAGTTGGTAAAGAGAAGGTGGCGTTCAGTTAAGGAAATGTAGATGAGAATGTTGCAATTATTAACTCCTTGAATTGATATGTCAAGTAGCATATTTAATTTCTTATTCCCGGAAGTGAGATTGAAGGAATTATTTATGTGACATCAAAACAAATAATAACTCGTTCTTGATCGACTTATGTATGGTCAAAATTTGTTAACATGATCGATTTCAAATTACGCTTGTATCAAATGGATTTTCATCGAGGTTATCAATCAATTGATTGTCACAAGTTAAATACTTAAAATCTTCATAATTAACAATTTCTATATATAGTATATACCATACATCCAAAAATTACTTGAAAAAACAAATTCAAAGTGTGTAGTTGAAATTTGTGACAGTCAACTCATATTTGAATTTATAAGTTATCTAAACCATTTTGCATTAGGATGGGTCCAGAACTCCAAACCATATTGATCGACGAGACAAGTTTTCAACTTTTAGTCCCCAGCAATTTAGTTAGGGAGAAGTAACTCGATAATCATGGTTATTATCTCGCATCTTTTACAATGTGAGACAACTCGAAAAATTTACTCCATAGTGAAAAGTATAAAAATATTTACAAATATAAATATGAAATCGAATCTTGTTTATACCATCATACTTTAAACTTTAGAAATTTGTTATGACTATGCATTACCACTTAAGCATGCCAAGAACATTAGATCAACAACTGACTGAAAAGAAGTTACTTATAACATTGTGATATGGGGCTGAAGAAACAATATCAAGATGGAAATTTTTATCTTCTTGTCATGTAGTGTGTGGAATAAAAAGTAGAGTTGAAAATCTTATTATGGAGATTCAAAGACGTAAATCACTAATTAAAGTTTAAAGTTTGAAAGAGGCACTTTAATTTAATTTATCAAACTTTGATCACCAACCCAAATACCTTCTTTTTTTTGGATTGTTATACCTTCATTCTTGAGTCATTAGATTAAATTAAATATTTTACTTTGAACATAATAGTGTGTACTTTAAATTTAAAAAATAAAAAGTGTACTTCTTCTAACTCCTTTATATAAGCTATTGTTATTCTCTAAAAATACTTTTTTTTTTTTTTTTGACTCATCCTTATTACATACTTGTACAAAATATAGGATTAATTTTGCGATAATATATATGAAGATTTAAAAGCTCATCAACATTTTTTCTGTTCTAAAATTTGAGCTATTCTAGTCGTATTTTGTTATTAATGAATTGTCAACTTTCAACTTTTTTTAAAGAAGATGACAAGTAATTAAATGTAATGGTAGATTGTTAGTCACATAAGTGTATATGAGGAGAGTTAACTAAGGTCTGTTCTCTTCAGCTTATTTTCAATTCTGTCAGTTCAGCTCTAATAAGTTCAGTTCGGTTCAATTCTTAATTTTTCTCACTCATAACATATTCAATTCAGTTTAGTACAGTTCAATTTAGCTCAGCTCAATTCAGTCAATCAGAACAAGCCCTAATTGTATACACAAATACAGGACTCCGTCTATACTAGGCACAAAAACCCCTCCTTTTATTCGCCTTTAATGGTTTAATTAGATTGACAAAGACTACTTGATTAATTTTGGTCACACAATACCAAAATGAAGGTTTAGGCTAATTGCAAACTACTTACATTTCATATTTATTTTATTTTATTTTATTTTATTTTATTTTACTGAAGGGATTGATATTTTATGCATCTATTATTGACTATTAACTTAATTAAGTGATGTCAAGTCACCCATGAAAATTAGAACATGACACAAACACGTTTGATACCAACTCTTGTTATTTTATACACTATCTGATACGTAGTATTATAGGCCAACTAAATAATTGTCCATAAAACTGATACAAACCGTTCGTCAAAACTACAAAAAGCAAAGTATACAAGAAAAGAAAAGATAAAGAAAGAAAGTAGACTCAAATAAACTCTACCCTATTATGACAATGACTGCCCTTCAAGGCTTCAAGCCATACACATCATATTCATATCCTCATACTGTCGTACATACTCAAATGTCTACGGTACACTCAACTATAAGTAATCTACTATAATATCTCCGAATACATAATGTACTTATACCGGGTTTTGTATTGTATCATTGAACATAATTTATTAATTTCAAATCCTCTAAAATTTCTCACCATAAAATGATCTACGTATGTAAATGAAGGTAGAATATGAGAGGATATAAAATTACATACAGCGGCAATGATACAATTTTATATTTCAAATCATTATCAATATCTAATTTAAATGTAACCAAATAAGTTTAATGAAGATAGTGAGCAAATCACCTTGTGACTTTTCAAAAGAAAAAGTTTGAATTTCACCATCTACTTGTGCTTGGAAAAGAGGATTTCCTTAAATTCCTTCCTACTTTGCTAGACTTGTATCGTTGTATATGTATATATATGTACATCGACTAGTTAACTTATTATAGATCCTGGTTCAATAGTGGAAAAAAAAATTAAAATATGAGAAGATGTAAAATTACATTCCAATGTAGTTTTACACCTCAAACTAACATAAATCATACACAAGAAATAAATTCCACTAATAGTGTGTTTTATTCACTTAATTATCTTAACTTATCTTATCTTGTGTAAACTGGTTTATTAAAACTTATTTTAATTGTAATTTGTACTTAGGGTCTGTTCTCATTGACTGAACTCAGCTGAACTGAACTGAATTGAGCTGAGCTGAGCTGAACTGAAATGAATATTTATTAAGAGAAGGAAATTAGGAGCTGAGCTGAACTGAACTGAACTGAGCTGAGCTGAGCTGAGCTGAGCTGAACTAAACTGAAATGAACTGAGTTTCAACGTAAGAGAACAGGCCCTTAGATAGACTTTATTATAACTTATTTTTTTTTCTAAACTTAGGGCTTAATCTCTTCAGCTTATTTTCAGTTTAGCTCCAATAAGTTCAGTTCAGTTCTTAATTCCTTCTCTCATAAAATATTCAATTCAGTTTAATTCAGCTCCAATAAGTTCAATTCAGCTTACCTCAGCTCAGTTTAGTTCAATCAATCAGATCAGACCCTTATTACACCTAAAATGAGTAAAAAAAAAAAAGTTAAAACGAATAAACTATATGATATTGTATAAACACCCTTAGGTTACCAACATATACATACACTTATAAAAGTTATAATGAATGATACACTCATGTGCTCATACACATACCACTCCATCCCCAATTCTCCACTAATCAACATCATAATTAATCAAAAGAATATAATACACAAAAAAAAATTCATCCCCCTTTTCCCCATTTCTACTTTCCCTTTTCCTTCTCTCTCTTCTCTCCCCCACCCAACTTCCCTCCAAAATACACCCACCACCATTTCCAATGAACTAAACTCCCTTCAAACCTTCATCATTACCCCATCAATGGCTTCCCCCATCTCAATTGGAGCTCCCCAACCATGGCCCTCAACCTCCAAAACCTACAATTTCTGCTCTCAAGGTTGCTCCTTCAACTGCCCCCAATTATGCATCTTCCCCCCACCTCCTCCCCTCCTCCTCAACCCCAACATCATCTCCTCCGACGACTCCGACGATTCCTCATCCTCTCGCATCTCCCCTTTAATGGCCGCTCTCATCGCCGTCCTCGCCGCCGCCTTCCTCCTCCTCTTTTACTTCACCGTCATCTCCAAGCTCTGCCGTCGCTCTCGCAACCGTCGCAGAATCAACCGATTCCTCGACTCCGAAACCTCCGACCCTCTCTCAAGAGTGGACTCGCTGATTCACGACCCGACCCGACCCAACTCCTCCGCCTCTGGTCTCGACGATGCGTTTATCCGTCAGATCACGGTGTTCAAGTATCGGAGAGAGGATAACTTAGTTGATGGCACTGAATGCGCTGTTTGTCTAACTGAGTTCAATGAGAATGAGAATCTTCGGTTGATGCCTAATTGTGAGCATGCCTTTCATTTGCCTTGTATTGATACTTGGCTTAAGACTCACTCTAATTGTCCGCTCTGTCGGTCTACAATGAACCTAGGTCCACCCCTTCGATCCTCCTCGGGTTCGGTTCCTCCTCCTCCCAACCCCAACCCCAACCCCAGCTCCAACACCAGCACGGGTGGTGTTAACGGGGCTGGGGTTGCCGCGTTGCGGGTTGAGAGGAGGAGTAACGACGCCGTTTTGATGATCCGGGAGTTGGAAGGGAGGGTTCAAGTTTTGGAGACTACGCAAGGTGATGAGGTAGATACAAAATTAGAAATTAATGATGATATTATTACTATTAATAATAATACAGGTAATAATAATGATAATTCAAGATGAATACAGTTACCACGAAAAAAGGTAGATTTTGATTTTGATTTTTTTTTTTTTTTTTTTTTTTGTATATTGATATGATTATTATTATTATTGCCTTATTGGTGATTAGATTTATGAACTCATATCATAAACTTATGAGTTGAGTTAAATATAGAGTTTGTTTGTTGTAAATTTTGCTACAAATGAAGGCGAATTTGAAGGATTTGTTCTTGAATCTTCATCTTGAATATCAATGTGACTATTGCTATATGTTTATGATTTTACATTTTGAATTTGTGATTGCTGATTATATTCGGGTTTAGTCCAATTGACACGTTGCTAGTTCGAATTACACTATAAGGTGACTAGTGACTCTAAACAAAGGTGATATTCTAGTCTTTATAGTTAGCATTGTGATTGTGAAATGGAAGCATCTAAATTATGAGAGTTGGTTGGATTATTATTGATATTAATTAGAAAATAATGTAAATGGGGGTGAGATTTAATGATTGGAATGCTTAAATTACTGCTTAAAAAGTCAAAATAAGTCACATGGATAGTTGGGGAGGTTGTTGCAAAATAATTTTTCATAGATGATGATACTTACATACATTTGTCCATAGTTTAATGGTGTTTACTTCCTTTTGTTTTGGGGTGAACTTCAAGTCTAGAACCATTTGTAAGCTTCTTTTTCTCTTTTCTTTATTAAAGAAAGAATTAGGTGCTCTTACTTTATCATTTACTTTTGTTTGTACTGAGAATCCATTAGTTGATCTTAATTTCATACTATAAAACTTGCACAATAATGTCTCGCAACCAGCCGCGACCTAGCTGTGAGAGCGGCACTCTACCAACTGAGCTATATCCCTCCGAACCTAGTGGAGCTAGTTAAATGCTCGGTTCTTGAGGCTCTAGCGTGAAGTAGGATGAAGGAGGTTACATTTGTCACTTATGTGATGATAGGAATACAAGTATTGTTCTTGTTAGAGTTAGACCCTAGATCTTTGATTGTCTTAATATCCATAATCTAGCTAGATGTAAGAAATGCACTTTCAAAAAAGAAATACAATAAGAGTATTGTATTTTTACCTTTCAAGAAGTTTTAGAAACGAGCACAGAATCAACTTGACTCTCAACATGTTGCTAGCCATAGGCATTAACGAAAAATAGTAAGTTTTATTTCACTCTGATAAGTTGTACCAAAGATTCTATAGAAATATTGTCGTATGTGAATGCTAACTAATAAAATCGAAAAAAAAAGTCTCAAGTGTCGTAAAAGTAGTGATGAAGCCCTATGATCGAACAGAAACCGACTTCCCAACTTGTAAATTGCATTGACAAATGACAATAACGAGAACAATGAAAACCAAAATAACCCTCCATTGTAAATCTACTTGTAAATTTGTAATATGTAGGGTTAAATTCCCACTAATATCGATCAAGTTTTGATGTTACTGAAATTTGTGTACATTCTTTACGAAGAAGATATAATTCGTACACCGACATGAATTGTTTTTGCTGCTGAAATCCGACATATTTTCAGTGCACAGGACACAGAAAGAGAAATGCACGTGCAATACAAAATTGGCTGAAAATAATAAAATGGAGCATATAAGGTTAATTCGTGACTGAATATGGAATTTGGTTGGTGAGCAACTGAGCACTAGGCAGGAATTTTAGACTTGGGTGTGAAATTTTGGTTTCAAGAATCTTGTTTGTTTGATAATAGATGAATTTATATTGTTTACTACTTGTTTGTTTGATAATAGACGAATACAAAAATGCATTATCATGTAAGAAATTACATAAACATATCAATCAATCAATATACGGAGTATATACTACCTCCGTTACAAGTTATGTGCAATGATTTGACATAAAGCAGAGAGGGAAAATGTCTAATCGTTGCACATAATTTGTAATGGAGGAAGTATATATTAAAACTCAATGGCAAGGATTGTAATCTTGCCACGTGTTGCCATGTCACTCATTATTAATAATTATACATCAATGTTTTTTCATAAAAATTTAACATTTATTAGTATTAATATTTAAACCCATAACCTCATATTCATTAAATTTAACTTTAACTAACCACCGCTCCAATGACATCTTATGATGATAAAATTGTATTAAAAACAATGAACCGGGGCATCGCCCGGGCCAAAAACTAGTTAATATATTATAACTAAAATCATAGGAAAGATTGAAAGAATTATAAAAATTTAAATTTTAACCCCATTGGAAAAATGACGATATAAGATATCAAAATTAAGCATCGCTTTCTAATATGTACGGGATAGTATAAATGTGGTTTTAATGATACAGAACATTAATCTACAAATGTAAATTCAATATGATTATTCCTTTTTTTTTTCTCTACAATAATTGGACAAACATAGTAAAGAATAAATGCAAAATTTTGACTTGAGTTACATAAAAATACAAGCATTCACATGAAATACCAATTTTTGATGCACAAACTGCTGTAATTGGCTCTTGATTTGTATATTTTTAAATTTTGTGACTTATAATGGTCCTTTCCCTTTTCTTCGATCATCACGAGCCTACATTAGTATAAATAATTTTAGAAAATATAGAATAAATAATTTTAGAAAATATAGAATCATATACGGCGAAAACTATGTTGAAATTAATTTAAATATATACTACTTCAAAATTAAAAATTACTGGTACACAAATCTAAAAGCTGCAAGCTAGTACATTTGGAAGTTTATTTTTAAGAAAAGCAAGCAAGCCAGCAAATCCTAGTGATCTGTCATTATTCACATAATCTTTCTATCCTAATATTTAATTTTGTTAGTTATACTAATTAATTTATATTATTAAAGTGATAGAGAAGTAGTAATCATGGTTTGAAAAGTGATTTAGTGAGTTATTTCCAGCAACAGATAAGAAAAGGAAAAGCTACTTTCTGTCTATATTCTGTCCTATTCTTTATACAGAACAATCACACAGGATGACAGGAGTCAGTATAGAAGTTCACTAGCACATTTCCAATATAGCTTTTCCTATAGGGTATTTAGGACAGCATAGTCAAGTACGTATGTGAAAACTCGACATTTCGACATGGGTACAGGTTCGTTATAGTCACTTGACAATTCATTTTGGATTAGGATTCTCCAAGGCTCTAATAAAGTGACTAATCTGTACTGGCGGAACCTAAGTAGTCAGCACTGAAATTACTATGTTGGGAAACCAACCTCATAAACTAACATTCTCCAGGTCCCTAACATTCTCATAAACTAACCTCATAAACGACACTACTAATTTGTGTTTACTGGAGTATACTGAAAAGAAAAGAAAAAAATAATAATATTAATTTAGGCTTTACAGAATTATGAAGGGGAAAGCTTGCTAGTGATTTAGAGAATAAATTTCTCCTGAATTTCCTCAAGTTTCAATAATAATTTTAGGTACATCAAAGCTATGTGAAGATAACAAAGCAGCAAACATAAACAAAACACCGAATTAGCAGTGCAGCAAATTGACACATCAATTCTACATCATCCTCGTAAATGAAAGAAAAAAAAGATTACCTTGTTCTGGAACATTCTTATAGTCAACACAAGAGTGTCACGCATTCTGTAGGAAATCAGAAATTTATAAATGAAATCAGACTGTAAATTTTTTAGGAAATCACACATTCTTATACAAGTAACTTCTGTTTCGCAGTAAAACGCATACTGCTTAACGAGATGTTTCAGACTATGTAAAACTTTTAGGAAGGAAAGAGAGAAGCAGAGGACATTCTGCACCTCAGTTGTGAACTCTATAATCACAAGTTCATGATTTTTATAAAAGCAATTACTCCCTCTCCCTGGAATCAAGAGCCTCGTGACTAACATATTATGATAGGAATTTGGAGCACGTTATCATTAGTAATGATTTATAATTGGATTTCCTAACTTGTCATTACTTTGAGAAATAGGTAGAAATAACAAGCATCAAATTAAGATTAACAGAGATAGCTAGTATGATAAGATTCCCACCCAGTTGACATGTTGTCTCAATTCGCCATTTTGGTCCACTATGGCTTTAAAGACAAAATCTTATTATGAGGAACAAACATTAAAACCAAATTAATGGCATGCAAATTGCAAATAAGATACTCAGATATTATGACATTAATCTATCTATATCTATATTTATATTTATATCTATATCTATATCTATATTTATATCTATATCTATATCTATATCTATATCTATACTTAGTATTTAAAAACACAAACCATAATTTTTCATATGACACATGTCATCACAAGTCACTCACTACCACATATGACACATGTCACCCCTTTTAATCTTTTTGTTTAAGTCTTTATACATTCTATAACTTGCAAATTCAATTAAGAAAATGAAGTGTTTCATTTCCATCATAATAAAATAAAGTTGAACCAATTAATATACATCACATAAACATATGAATTGAATTATATTAAAATTGTCTTTTCAACTAATAGACTTAAAATATAACTTAAACCAATATGTCATTTCATATCCTATAATCTTCATGTATATATATGTAACTAAATTTCTTTATCTTTTTCCCCATTTCTACCCTCATTCTTTTTTTCCTTTTAAGTTTTAGCAATGAAACAATTACTTCGTATTTCATATCAAAAGTTTCAACTATTGAAAAACATACCTACATATGAAATAACCTAAATATGAACCCGTGCATCGAACGGGCCAAAAGGCTAGTTATTATCAAAACTCCAAGACAAGGAGTATTATATCGCCATGTGTCGTTTTTCTTATGTTATTCCGCCACATCATATTTGAAACATGCCACGTAATCAGACTTAGTAATGTGTTTGTCTTCATGAAAAACTCTTCATAACCTCCAAATATTAATGTTACTTTAATTGAATAACTCTTCATATGTCTAATAACCACCCTTTTTTAATTTCCCTTGGAATGTAATTTCTTAATAATGGCACAATAATATAATTTGTAAGAAATTAATTATTACTTATTAAAAAAAAAACACTAAAGCTCTTAATGACCGTGACAAACAAGGCTAATATATGGTTCCAAAAAAAAAAAAAGCTAAAATATAGTTTAATTAAAATAATAAATTTATAATGACCCGGGGCATCGCCCGGGCTAATAACTAGTTAAGAAAATCAAACTGCAAGAATTTATTACCTAATATCATTGTATGTGCTTAAAGGGTGTGAAGTTACATCTGAACATGTTAGAACAAACTGTGTTGACAATCCACCAGGAATCTTGATCTGCAGGGGCAACAACAGTGAAGTTATACATAGAGTTACATATAAGAACAAAGACAAACCCATAAGAACCATAACTTATTGCAGCAAGGTAGTCAGAATATATAGGTACTGGTAAGTTAAAAAATTTTAGGATACAGTAACATCACAAGTCAAGGTAGGAATTTCAGCTTCAATTAGCTCATGAATCCAGGAGGCTATAACGCTGCAAAAGATGTGAATTTGGAAAAGTCCTTGAAGGAGCATGAAGATTTCTGGAAGAAAATATGAACTGATTAGTCATCCTATGGTACTGTAATTTCTTTCGGAGAGTTGCTCATGACGTAATGGGAGTTGGCTATGGTACTGGTCTAATGGATACTAATTGTTCAAGATGTAAGCAACATGAAACTTTGGACAAATGCTACTTTAATGTGAATACTGAAAGACAGCCCAATAAACTCGTAATACAGCTAAATGGGCCAAAGAGATCTTTACCAAGGTGGAGCTTGTTTAACTTGAGACTTTGAGAGGTACAGTTCAGAAAAGTAATGCCTGGAATTTAGGAAACAAACATGGTGACGTTCACCTCAATGCTTGAAAGGGCTATGGCCTATGGATTACTAAAGGAAAACATAACTGAGCACTGAAAGGCTAAGGTAAAATAAGTCATAAAACCAAATAATGAACATCAATATTCTGGCCAGTTAAAATCACTTTTGGCATGGCATGCAAGACTTTTGGTAATGATTTGTGTTCATACCTCACGCAAGAAATGACTCAAAGGTACAGCATAAACATTCTCAAGAGCAGGAAGTTGTGGAGGCTGCTCTTGAGTGAGTAGCTTAGGGAAGAATGAGTGTTGTTAGAGAGTTAGACTCAAAGGAAGGTACAGCTGAGATAGTTTCTTTCGTAAATCATTTATTGTATAAACGCAATCTAAATCCCTATCTCAATAAATAAAGAATGAAAAATCAACAGAGTGCTAGAGCCCCCAGACTACGGATATGTTCTGTCCTAAATTTGTGCGGGTCTCAAGAGAGAACAGCAAGGGGCAATAAAATTAAAATGTTGCAGCTATAATTCACAAGTTGGACACAGCCACACAGATAAATGCAAAAATTGGTAATAAGTTATATACAATGACTGGATTGCAGATACACAGCTTTTAGTTTGACGTGAACCACAAGCTCATCTGCCTATCTAGCCTTGTAAACAACAGGAGTTCCCTTTTCTTAGGAGGAGGTCTATGAAAAACGCACTCATCCAACATACCGATAAGTTATCTGAGAATTCATCAGCAATTTGAAGAGCTCCTGTTTTATTGATCTTCACTTGAAAGCCTGAGCGCCGTAAAATAAAAGTTGCTGGTTCCCAGTGATTAAATGAATCCAACTGCTTGACAAGCAATACAAAAATATGTATCACTTCACAGTCTATAAGCCTTATAAATGTTACTCTGTATAATACAACATGAATTGGTATGATATGATTTAGAAGGCATAGACAATGTATTTAAAGTAATTTCGTTTCCTTTATTGTACACATTGGGTATATTAATATATTAAAATGGCTAAATCACCTCAGATCCTATTTAAAAGCAACCCAAATAGAAGCCACCCCTTACCTAAATGGTCACTTGAATAAATTACCTCATGTCCAATAAAACTTAACCAACCCTGATTTTTCAAAATTTTCTCTACTGTAGTTATTTGGTTTTCCAGCAAGAATAATCAATCTCTACATAGAGGAATAATAAGAATGCTCTGCACAGAAGCCTTTATTTAAAATAAGAAGAAAAAGAAAAATGGAATTTAAATCACTCGTGTCTTCCAAATTTCACCAATGCAACGGAAAAAGTGAAACAAGAATTTTACAGGGACTTTCATATGAGTATTTTCCTTCCCTTCCAATACTTATGTATAGTTTCAATCCAAACAAGGAAGAGTTATATAATTTTATCAGCAATTATAAAGCCTGAGAAATCAACCCTCAATTCAGGTCAGCTATCCCTAGGAACCAAGATATCTAACATTTCATTCTCTTTCCCCTTGTTTAAAGCTTTAAGGTGGCTGGCAATCTAGTCTAAAGTCAATATCTCATAAAATGGATTATGCAAAGATCTTAAAACAAGAGGCAATGTTCTTGGGTCGTGAAAAGAGAATTAAGGTGAAAGATAGTCATTTTCTGGTATGAATTTTCCTTTCACTTACTTATTTCGAAGTTAAGGTAGTTAACTGTCACCAATGATTGTTTGAATGATGTCAACTTTGATCAGAAGCATGCAAAGAAAATAAATACTGTCACTAGTAAACTTACCAGAACTAATACACCGAAATCGGCTTGGCCTTTATTAATATACGAGTCAATCTCTGCCTGCATATCTGGGTCTAGTGAAGGAAAAAAATATTCAAGAACTGACCAACAATGCTTATAAGGAACTAGATAAACAAAGAGATTTAGTGAAAATAGACATACCACATGTTATCTTATTCTGGTCATTGGCAAAGCGTCTTACTAATTCACCCTGATTATTGTAACAAAAGAGATTAGCTACATTTCCGATTTGTCAAACATGTGATTTCAAAAAAAGTATTACATTGGTATCTTTTATTTATTTTGGCACATAGGGGCTTAGGGAGCCCTGAATGAGCACTGATGTTGATGGGATTCTTGGGTAACAACCACCCCCAAGACTTTAACTAAGTTGGCTTCACCATATTGGTTTCATGTTTTACGGTTTTACCCAATAAAGGAAAGTTGATATATACCAATGAAAAACAATGTAGAATAATATCATCCCTCTGGTCTAAATTATGAGTCGCGTTGGCAATCTATTTTGACCCAAATGCAGGTCATTCTATAATATCAATGACATAATGTAAAAAATATAGGCTAGCACTACCGGTCATTTATCAAATTAATCATTTAAAATTCCAATACTTCATATTATATGCCACTTCATAAGACAAATAAAGCTTTTAACAAATTCAACCAATTTCATGATGTGTAAAAATTTCTAAGAACTACTTAAAACTCTGGATCAGTGTAAGTAGCAAAGTGCTCTCAATCAAGTGTAAGACATCAAATTGAAATAATATTAAGGTCCAAAACATCATCTGGGTCAGATATTCTAATTTATCAGGTGGAAAGGTAAGATCAATGACACATACAATGGGATATTGGCCATGCAAATTAACTTCTTGAATGCGCATAAAATATAAGAGTAATTTTCAAATGGAAGACAACCATAGTATTTGCATTGCATCGCATCACTTATCTTTTCTTTAGTTGAAAGCTACATGCCATTAACTCAGAGCAACTACTGCGGATATAAACCTCTATAGATGAAAAATCTTATAGTTTTGCAAATGATTAATTCTCATTTAATCAGACACATACAATGACAATCAGAATAACGTATGCAGGCAACCCACATGAATTCTGTCTTACATCCTGATCATACCTACAGCCCTACTCGGTTAAGGATTGTTTTGCTTCAACTTTCAAGAACATTTTTACTTCAACTGAGAGTTATATGCAGTAGAAAACTCATCAAATTGATAACTCAAGAGATTACCTGACGACCATTCTCATCCATTGGGATGCACTCAACAGCAATACACTTGTCAACATCATCAGCTGTAACTACATACTCTGGATTGGTAGCACCTGAATAATGGACATAGGTTGATCAAACTGCAGCATAAACTGTCACATGACAAAACATATTGATGTAATCTACCTGCACAGGATTATATAATCATGAGTCCAGCTTGAGGCAAATAGCATAGAAGTATGGATGCACACCATTTACCTTCAATGTAGTGTCTAGTTCCATCTTGGAGATGACGAACCCACTGTTATTCGAACGAGAGAAAAGATAAAAACTTGATCAATACTGAAAGAAGTAATAATATCCAACATGGTAATAGGAAGAACTTGTTCTATTTTACCTGAAACATGCAAAGTGAAGTGCCTCGTACAGGATAGCCACACCCAAGAAGCTTGGCTCCCAATTTAGCTTCACCAATTATTTGGAAACCTTCTATTCCAGGACCCTCATCTAAAGAAAATTAGTGTGAAAATTTACAAATAGTCAGACTCATTGCGTAAATCCATGAAGTTAGGAAAATTAACACGGACATCTTTCATCAATTTATAGCACACAAGTGAGCAAGTGTGTGACCCATTATTCCAGCACCATATCGTTTTTTATAAAAAGATTTTTTTTGATAAAAATGATACTAAGAAGCAGAAAGGATAATGGATTCTAAAAATAAAATGGATCAGTCAGAGATATCGCGCTTTTCCAACAATGGAAGGATTTTGGGGGGTGGGGGGAATCAAAATGGGGAAAAGAGAAGAGAATAATAAAGAAAAAATTACTTCAACCAAGAAAGACAAATACGGTGACTAGAGATTGCCAGCCAATGACTTGTAAAAAACCTTAAAGCCTACTTTAGTTTCTAAACATTATATATTGAAACACATGATACATCCTCTTTTACCATACCTAATAAGAGCCAATAGTGAAAACAGATTCAACACATACGAAGTACCATTATTGGTTATTCTGCAAAGACTATAAGTTGAACAATCAGAAAATCGGTCAATCAAAGAAGTCAAAGGTCACACTGCATATATACCCAGACCTCCTAAGACACCCCCTTGGCAATATCCATTTTGGCTGGTATGCAGTCATCACCATTATTATTTTATCAATATGCTATAACAAGGAATTGGGGTTAACGTCCCGTCCACATTTATTGATTGATTTGATTTTAACAGAAAAGGTATACTTCAGCACCAACACATGGTTTTATAATCACAATGAGTAGCAACTAAGTTGCTATAACCAAGTTGCTATTTTACACATTAAGCACAAAAAATAAAACTCACTTGTTAAGGAAGAAGCAAAGAGCAAAATTATTTTGGTAAGGGCTTTCTAATTATGTATCTATTAAAGAATGGAAATGCATCTCACCATAGATTAGCGAGTGCCCAGTCTGCTCATCAGGCCACGCCCTATTGGTTGCTGGTAAATATTCTTCAGCTCGACTTGATAGAGATGATTCTTCTTTCTACGTGAACAAATAAGGAAATATTAAAATTGAATTGGAAAATTACATTTGAAACAATCAAGATGCATATCTCAGCAACATTGTGGTGAGAAAAATACTAAATGAGCCCACAGGCCCCAAAAGGAAAGCCTTTATCACTTTGGTAACAATTATAATATTTTTGTTAGCTAGTCATAACTTAAACCTAAATGGTATGAGCAGGATATTGCAAACTCCCTCACCTAGGAAAATGTTCACAAGTTCCCCTAGGCAAGGTAGATTACTAGAGACATATGCCAACCAAATCATTGGCATCAGCCTCCAGGCCATGAACCACTATTTCACGGGATCAAGAGTCACAGAGGCTACATAATAGGCTCCAATAAGGACCGCATACTACAAAACCAATTGTTACTAATATCTAGATAGAAAATTGAGGCAAACCCAAATGCTCCCATAAAGAGGTCTACTTAATACCAAAAGGAGAAGGCCTTGTTACAACAGTCCATCCTTTATAAGTTAGTCAGAAAATCACCATACAATGCAGCACACACCTGTGAGTAAGAACATTACCATTTGTTGGTAAGGAGACCCAACATGTAAATTGCTAGGTTGAGAACCGATCTCATAATATGGGTCCTGAGTGAGATTCCTCAATTCCCTTGTTTTTCCCTACAACAATAAGAGAAATTTGTTTTAAGCTTTAGTCCCTGTTATAAATAGTCAAAAAGCTAATATTGTGAACATAATTGACGGAAACTGAATTCTGAAAATTTCCCCTGATAATTTGCCAAACAGTAATAAAAATTAGCAGGAAAAATAATAAAATATTTTTAATTGGGCATGCTCTTGGAGTATGAAGAATTAAGTCGGGAAAAAAAATCATGGCTGGGGGTTAATATGATATGAAAAGAAGAGGAAAAGGCAACATCTTATTCTTATTCTTATTCAACAAGGCGGTAGGGGGTAAGCGCTTTTTTTGGCCTGGGCGAGGCGATTTTGATTAGGCGCACCCAAGGCGCACATGAGGCGCACCTGAAGCAAAATTCTGCCAATTTTTTTATGAGGCGCGCCTTAGGCGCACCAAGGCGCTGCATATCCCTTGTCGCCTCAGCGCGCCTTGAGCTTTTTTATACATTGACCCCATTCATGGTGCCTTTGCTCTACCTACATGATATCAGCTTTGTTTGCCAATTACTAAGTATATTATATCCTCAAACCATATTGGAATATTTTTTTTCTCCATAAAAAGCACCTCTACAGAAACACACATGAAAATGCAGCCATGTCTGCATAACTATATTTAAACAAGACATCAGATCTTGAACATAATTTTGGAACTTGAAAAAATATTATATTTTTTACATAACAAGGAAAGCTAAACAGAGAATACAGAATAAAAAGAAGCATCAGTGATGCCCAATGAAAGGCTTACCTGTAGTTTCTGGTGCAGTTGATCATACAAGTGCTGCAATTTCATTTCCCAAACAAAAGAAGCAGAAAAAGAACAGGGTCAACAACACAATCAGAGCCTCAGACTTAAACAAATTTAAAACAAACCAAAGTGAATACAAAATCAGATATTAGCAACTAATCTCTCATCAGGTAATCAGACAGAATCTGAGCTCATTTCAGATGATCAGAAACAAGAATCTTGACGTAAAGGATGTTGGCTGTTGGATAGACGGTTAGAGAAATATGTCTTTTACCAAAACTGGAGGAATTTATTTTTTCTAGGAGGAAGGGCCTTTGATAACCTGACAAGAAACTACCAATTTTTTTCACAACCTTGCAACTTTCCAGAGGTAGGGGGAGATCTGCTGAAAAGGCATTAGTTTTGAGTAAGTGAAGCATTGAACTGAGAAGGAAACTACAAATAATATTTCAATTCAATACAAAAACATCGTCATTTAAATTTCCTTCCATAGTTTCCTATCTCCTCGTGTTTAAAATCTGCAGTAACTTTAAGCTCCAATCAACCTAACATTGCCGGCTTAGTAGGACTGAAGGTTTTAAGACCAAGTTATCACCACAGCATATAAAACAAATAATAAGCAAAACTCTTACACCAGCATCAATAGATAAAAAGACAATACTGCCCTTTTTTACAACTATCCAATATCCATACCTTGAGATTCATGCAAATAGAAGAAGCATTTGTGACGCTTGGCCGTGTGCCAAATTCAGCCAATAATCCAAGCAAAGATGTCATGAAATAATATCTCTGCTCTTCTGCATCCTAAACGAGGAATTTTTTTTTAAAAAAAATTGGCAAAGAGGACAAAGCACTTGTTTCTAGAGTTAATTTAGCCTATCTTATTCCTCACAATTGTCTGGTACAAGTATTATCACTTAATTATACCATGGGGTTACTTCATGAATATCTATCTTTTAGAGGGTGGAGGAGGAATCAGTTGGGTAAGTAAAGTTGATAAACTAGGAGGGAAAGACTCTCTTTACCTTTAAATCATTGGTTAGTCTTACATTCTCATCAAGGTCAGCTTTTCTGACAGCCAACTCATTTAAGGCTGCAGTTATCGATTCTTTTTGCTTCTCATCCATGGCCTATCATATCAGGTATTGGATGAGCAATCACCATCATTCAAAGCAAAGCAATTTCACAAATACAAGAAAATGACAGGGAATAAGAGTTTTCTAGATAACGAACCATACGCAGGTCTGAAAACTTTCGCTCCAAAGCATACTTCTCATTGAGCATCTGCATCTCCTGTCATTTAAAGGAGATACAAGCTCATTCCCATGTAAAAGAGAAGCACCAGAAAACAACAAATTATCGAGTAACCATATTCTTAGCACTACCTTAATATAGGCTTGAGTAATTTTTTCCCTAAGAGAAAAGATCTCATGTTCTTGTGTCCTGGATTGCCCAAAAAGTTCCTGCTCGTTGATTTTAAGAAGTGGATTCTATTAGATAAGACAAACATAGATGGAAAGAATTACATACATAAGTAAAGCTACAAGCAACCAAACCTTTTGTTCCTCGGAAGTTTTAAGACTTCCATCTCCTTTCAAATCCCTTGAAGCAGAATTTCCAATGTCATGCCTAGGAAACAAAGAGTATTTATACAAGAGGAGCAAAGACCAAAACACCACAACAACAAGCCTTAGTCCCAAAATGAAATGGGGTAAGCTATAATGAATTGTCATAAGAAATCATCCGCAAAAAAATGGAGCAAAGAAAGGAAAGTGATAAAATGAAAGTGGAAAAAAAAAAACCGAGAAAAAATACTGAGCAAAAGCTACTGTATAACATGGATGTAAAAATACTAACAGGTTGGATAGGTCTAAAATGAATACCTGATTGAATTTGTTGTTCGATTATCAGTAGACATCACACTGGACTTCCCCCAATTCTCAAGCAAGCAACATCCAAATGCTAGAGAGTAGATTATTATTGGTGGTAAGGTACATGCTGCATAATTTCTGTCTGGTCACAATCTATTGCCATACACACAACTCACAGTGAGAAAGGCCCAATCAACATTATTTATCCATAAAAGACCAGCAAAACAGAAGTGAATGAGCTACAAGGAATCATATAATCAGTCCCCAGAACAGCCTACATGATGAAATTGATTTCTATTAGCAGTTTTGAGTGTCTTCTGGGATAGTTATAGCAGCCCATATAGATTTACAATCTGTCACTTTAACCACTTGGCCACCCATTACTTGTAAGAATCTGTTTCTTTGTGCCTCATCCTCCCACCCCAACCCAGCCAACCCTTATTCCCATTAATAGAGGAAACTAAAGTCCGGAGAAGAAACGATTAAGTTCCTACTGAAAGATCAAAATAAAAATTTTGGAGATATTTCCTTAAAATACATTACTAGCAGAAACAACACCAATAATTCAGATATATAGCTAGGGTTTAATTTTTGTCATTGCATTGTATTTGAAATCTCAAATAGCTAGGGTCATACACTAATCTAGTATCAATGCAGTAAACATGTGTATTAAAAAGAAGGATAATCCATCTGTGATTTAACACGAAATAACAGTCACCTTTCCAAGTTCTAAATGATTCATCCAGATGGAATGCATAGTTACCAATTCATTCCGTTTTAATCACTCATTGAAAAAACTGTCTCTTTTTCAAAACCTTTGTATCTATGTATTACTGGGGCCCTTGTATATGTCACACGTGTGAATAATATTCAATGAATTGTTTATAAGGAAGATCACTTTTATAAGAATTGTCCAAAACAGAACCAAGAACCTTAAAGTTAGGAGGCTCCATGTACAACCAAACATATCCAAGTGATACATTCCAAAAACACCAATCCATCACTCTTTTGCATCAAAAAAAATAAAGAAAAAGAAAAATAACATATAGTTTTGGATTACAAAGTGTCACTCAGATGTCATTAATTTCTTTAACATTACTTATCTTACATACCTAACTCGTGTTGCACGTTATTGATGACACTTTATACGGAGTAGAAAATAGATCAACTACAAGAAAGCATCACTGACAACAAGATTATAATTCCTTAATGACCAAATTTCCTAACTTAGAGAGAATGCCATTCATCAATTGCTACCAACATCCAAGAGCACAATAAATGGCATTCTAAAGACCTAAAAACTGAAATACGTCAGAATTTAAGTACGTAGTATTTTTTTTTCCTCATTGCAACAAAACTTCAGAAATCAATACAGAACTATCTGATTAAATCTTCACATTCGAAATCCGAACCACTTCATCAGTTTCCTATTTTATGGTGGAGTTCTAATCAAATAATCTCTCCACAAACCAATCCCAAATCGGATTTTGACCAAATTTCCCAACAAACCCACATCCATTTACATTAAATAAAGCCCAAAAAAATATCAAACTTTCCACTGAAAAATGAACAATAGAATCACAAACTCCAATATCTATACAAAAAAAATTACACAAAAATAAAGGGTTTAATCTTTACCTCAATTCAATCTTCCAATAATATATAGAACCTCAAAGGAAGCAATTTTATACTGTTTATCTGTAATTACAACCAATGTATTAAAGAAGATTAAGAGTTAAAAAATATTCAAACAAATTAAGGAGATATAAACCCAGAAATCAAAAAATTGAAATCGATGAAATGGGGAGTTTCAAGTTTGTGAGTTAGAAAACCTGAATTTGTAATACGGAGTAGAGGAGCGGGTTGAAACCGTTGAATGCTGCTGATCTTTGCTGACTGCTGACTCTCAACACTCAGTTTATCGTTGTTCCAATTGTCAGAGGAGGAGTAGACCAATACTACAAATAGACCAAAGAAATATATACCAAGTATATCTGAAGTAGAAAACAAAAGGTGTACTGTATTGTACATATTTGTACAATACTACAATTGTACCCAAATGACCCTCGCATGAACTCATGAAGTGCCCTTGCACACCTGCCTCACTTTTTTTTCCGAAAAAATTTTTACAATAAAAAAGGTTCGTCTTGTTTCAAGATAACAGTATATATAGTTAAAGTTATTAAAAAAAAAAAAGTTAGTTAATGGAAGGGTTGATTTCTTGTTGATTGTCGTTGAGATGGCCTCTTAAAAGGCCACATAATACACACATTGATTTATATTATACTGAACGAAATTGTTAGATCAAATTCTTATTTTCACCCGTAAGAAAATGTATATTCCATTGATATTGAGCTAATTCCTAAATGCAATATGAAAGCTATTATAAATGGAATATGAAAGCAGTTATGAATGGAAAATTGGTAAGACTTTGCAAATTAAATTTTTTTACTTAGAGCATGATATTTTTAGGTATCATGAGGTAAATAATAAGTTTGGAAGTGGATTACAACTTGTGTCAAGTGCTTGTGCTTCCAAATAAACTAAGTGCAATTGATGACATAACATAAATTTTCATGCCAAAATATTTGAAAGTTGGCATAATCACGTGACAATCCATGCGTTTGATTGCAACGTGTCATCTTTAATCATTGTATTTAGAGCAAAATTGACATTATTTGGTTCATCATTGTGCATTTGTGCCTATGTATTGAAATGTTCAATGAGCCGAGTTGGGTCAGATCATGTTGGCTAATGTACCTCTTAAATAGAGAGTGGGATGAGGGTTCCTTACTTGATCTAACACGTTCCCCCCCCCCCCGTTTTAATAATAAACAATTGTTTAAGATACTTACGACTTAGTAACAATCTGAAATCAAAACTGATTTTTGTCCATAAAAAGCAAATCGAATATCTCATCCATCCTTTGACCTTTTGATCGTCACTTTTATATGCTATTAGAAGCAAAACTCCAAACCTGATTAGAGCGGGTTAGATTATGGCCATGTTTGGTAATTGGCTTTTTAATGGCTTTTTGGTTAGCTTTTGGCTTTTGGCTTTTGGCTTTTGGCTTTTTTAGGTGGTCAAACAACCAAAAAATGTGTTTGGTAATTGGCTTTTTAGTTAGCGAAAAAGCTGCTTTTAAGCCAAAATGAAAAAGCTGCTTTGAGTAGCTTTTTTGTTGGCTTTTGGCTTGTTGGCCCACAAATTATCTAATAAACAACCAACAACCAACAATTAATTTACCAAACACTTTTATAAACAACCAGCTAAAACAGCCAATTTCAAAAGCCATTATAAACAGCCAAATATTCCAGCTAGTCAAACAAGTCATGTGAATCAGCCAACAGCCAACCGCCAACAGCCATTTGCCAAACAAGGCTTATGTCAAATAGACCGACCTATTTACGGATTAAACAAATTGGGTCCTCGTGCTTCCAATTAAGATGCTATGAATTAAGTATTAAGTAGTGATCAGCACATCCAATTAGGGTCATCACTTTACCAAATTACTGCTACAAACAACAATTATTAACCCCAATTCAAGAATAAACAATTACAGTACCCATTTTCAGGCTTCTTCTTCCCCGGTCTCTCAGACCCTTTTCTGGGTGGTCAATATAGCCTGAAGAAGAGAGAGAAAGAAGAGAATTTTACTCTAAAAATGGCGCAGCAAAATAGTGGGATACCCACGATTGAAATCTACTGGTCTTTGGTTGATAAGGCTGATAAGAAATTTGCTAAGATCAGGGACTTGCCCCTTTATGAGCGCAACAGGTACAATTCTTCTTTTCTCTTTTTCTCGATTGCTGAATTCCTGATTTTAGTATTTTATAGAAATGGGTTTTGGGTTTGAATTGGGTTTTTCTTATTATTTTATGTGTTAATCTGGGAGAATTTGATCATTTGTTGTTGAATTATAGCATAATTATAATTTGATATTTGTGAATTATTGGAGTTTTGATTTGGTTAAAGTGGATATTTTGATGATTGGAAGAAAGTAAGAAATATAGGGTGTTACTGGTTTTCATTTGAGGTTTAACATCAACATTAGCTTGATTGCCTACATGAGGTTTTCGCCTTAGGCGGGTGTGATTGTTGTATCGTTGTGGACTAATGCTCTCTCATGTTGTGATAAGGCGGCTACCATTGATGTGTAGTTACTAGTTGTTGTAAGGAGTCTGCCGGTAAGGGGTAGGGAGCTTAGCCGGCAGTTAGATAAATAGTGTTATGTTTGCTATATTAGAGAGGCTGTTGTCTACATTAGACGCGAGGGCCATAAATTGCACCATGCCTTGAGATGGCACTCGTAAATTAGTAAGCCAATCCCAAATGCTGTTGGCCTCACTTGAAAGAGATTTTTGTCCATGTAGCAAAACTGCAAAACCTATTCCTAGAGACTAGAGTTGCCTCTTAGTCCCTAACATTTTTTTTTTTTTTGAATCGAACTTAGTCCCTAACATTCTTTAGGAGAATAAGCCATATTGTGCCTCACAATGCTACTAGCAAATTTGATGCTATGACTTGTGCCAATGAGATCTTCTTAGACCCCTTGGATCTTAGTTGAAGTTGAGGGGAAGCCCTTGGTCTTGGAGGCTCAATTATTTGATTACAGTTTGGGCATAGGCTGTTGGGATTGAGTTGGGTTAGCAGCTTCATGGGATTGTCTTGGGGCTTAGATTCTTTTTGGCCTCTTGGAAACATATATTTCTATCAAGTTTCTTTTATCTCACAGCTAAGGATGTTGCCTACAAATATTTTATATTTTTATGCAAGAATTATTAAAGATCAACATGGGCCATATTTCAGGTTTATTGACATGAAATGTGATAGACAATATATTTCTTCATTATTTTTAATGTACAGGAATGCATCTTTTCTACTAATGTATCCTCTTTCATTGCTCTGGATAATATTTTACTCTATCAAAGTTTGTTAGAAGCCTTTAGGGGTTGTTTACAGTCCATTGTCAGCCTCAAAACTGTAATTGCCTTGGCTGGGAAAGACTCATTTTGGACTTTTGGAGGATAACAACTTGTGCTTGTTTGACCTTCCTCACCCTTGTGGAAAATCAGAAAGGGTACTAGAAGCCTTTTGGGGTTACCGCTGGGAACATAAATTAGTATATTACACTAAAGTGTGAGATGCTATAGAAAATCTTTTCTAAGAAGGTTAGAACTTGTACTTACGAAGTCTTCCCTCGACATCCTGGCAGGGTTTGTTATAAAGGTTGATATTTGCAATTATATCATATGTGTAATCACTATGGAGGATTATATGCTGACTGAAAGACGAAGATAGTATCATTTAATTATGAGAAGGGGGGAACAATTGGACACAAGAGACGATTGATTAAGAAGAAATTTTAAGGAATGAGGGTTTTGTTAGAGATACTATACTTGGATACACCCCTCCTCTGTGGAGTTTAATAACATTTTTGCTAAAAGAATAATTACAACAAATATCCAAGAGAGAAAAGAAACAGTATCTATTATTCCTTATGTTCTTGTAATTTGATTTGTTATATATTGAACTGGAATTTGATCTTTATGTGAAATTAATGTGCTTTATTAAGATGTTTTTCTATTTGTACAATTGAAGGATATTGTGGCTGGTGGCTAGAAGTGTTGGTTTAGATTTTAGACTTGTATTTTCCCTTTGTATGGCTGTTTTAGATATTCAGTATTCATCCCTGTCATGTTTCTCCTTTTAAAGCACTAATTGGCAAGGATTGAAACACTAAGCCTACAGCAGGTTGGAGGGGGAAAATTCCCAAATTCTGCTATTCTTTGCTAGATCTTACGTCTTTTTCTGGCAATTAATCAAAATTTTAAGAATGAGTAAATTTCTGATGAAACTTTATGTAAGAAGAGTGTGGGGCTGAGGGCTGTTTGCCTATTTGGAGCCTCAGTCATTGGTTTGGTTTTTGATATGCAATAGTATATATAAATAATGCAGGTTTGACACTTATTTTTGCAAAGTATTCAAAGTATATACAGAGTTATGGAAATTTCAACAAGCAAATCGGCAGAAGCTGGTAGATGGTGGGCTAAAGAGATGGGAGATTGGTGAGATTGCATCTCGGATTGGTCAGCTTTATTTTGGACAGTATACACGCACAAGTGACGCAAGCTATTTGTCAGAATCATATGTATTCTACGAAGCTCTACTGACAAGGGAGTATTTCAAGGAGGGCATGTTTCAAGACATTAATCTTGCAAATAAACAATTGAGATTTATTGCAAGATTCATTACAGTATGTCTAGTGCTTAACCGTCGACATATGGTTCATCAGTTGGTTAATCACTTAAAGATTTTGCTTGATGAATGCAAACGGGCTTTTAAGGTTATTTACTTTTAATTTCTTGTGATACTTTATTTCTATGGTCTTATGCTAATCTTGATAAACATTGATGAAATCGATCTCCTTAGAAAAATGTTTAGCATTGATAGGGAAATTTACAAGGAATAACTGAATATAATAAGCACTTTGTAGAAAACCACCCAGGGAAATTTACAAGGAATAACCAAATATTATACACACTTTGTAGAAAACCACCCAACAAAATTTTCTTTGTTTATATTTTATCTTTATATTTGCAAAAAGTTGGTATTTTGAGCATTTTGATTCGTAGTATGAGTTGAAGGCATGATCCTAGTGGAGTTATGAATGCTCCAGTCTGCTTAAATCATACAGCACACGATGGCATTTTAGGCACTTTAAGTCGCAACTCCTCAAGACATGAGTCAAAGGGTGTTTGACGTGATTAAAGTAATGGATAAGGTGGTTCTATCCAAAGAAATTGTATTATATTTCAGTTTCTATTATATCGTCAAATTTTAATTAAGTGACAAATTAGAGTTTGAAGGACGAGTGGAGTGTTAGGTGAAATGTGGATGCTGTTGGAATGTGAAGTGGTGAGACAGGAAGATAATGCTTTATGTTTCGGTGTTTCCATTGTAAATCATGTGATAATTTGGAAAAGGTCTGTCTTATAGCTCTAACCATGGTGCAAATATCACCAGAGGACAGAGTATGAAGCAGAAAGTTTCATGGTGGAGCAGGAAGATTAAAACACTGATCATGTAAATATTGGAAATTTATCTTAAATAATGCTTTCCAAAGTTTTGATTAGTTTGAGAGGTACTCCATTAATTCGGCTGTCAACCACTATGCTGTGGTTCCTGGGATGATGCTGTGAGATAATTAACTATTTTAGAGACTTATAGGTGATTTATGAAAACATGTTAGCAGAAGTTTCAAGATCTATCATACCATTATATTAAGAAGAGGTTGTGGGGAAGAGATTTTTGTAATTTTTAATAGCAGCAAATTGGAACCAGAGGAAGGTGTTGCTTTGACTTAATAAGGACGGATGTTATTTCACTGCTCTATTGCTTGCTCAGTTCTTCAGTGTCATGTCTGATTTGTATCCAAGTTATGGAAGTTCAACTGTTCAAGTGACTTTTTCTTGGTATCTTGTGTGCCGTTAACAATGATCTCATAAAGCCTCCATCAACTTTTATTGTTTACTTGTCAAGTTTAGATAATCTTTTACAATTATGTACTCCTCTACTCTTCTCAATTTCGTTTGGTTTTTCTTTTCACTTTATAATCACTTTGTCAAAGGATGTAAATTATAGCAGGTAACTGATAATTTGCATGATGTCCACATTCTTTTTCTAGGAAGCTAACTTCAGAGAATGGAAGGTGGTGGTCCAAGAAGTAGCTAAATTTCTAAAAGCTGACACCAATTTTATGAACATCAGGCCTTTGAGATACAGTCTTGTTCTTGATCCTCATCCAGACACTCTACCACATGTTTCCTCATATAACCCTAAGAGAAATCTGAAATTACGGGATGCAGTACTAAGTAGCTACCATCCTAATGAGGTAAGGCCTACTTTCTTGCCTTTGTTCAAGTACTATATATTTGTTCAGTGAATGTTGTCCTAAAGGCAGAATAGTGTAGAGGCTATTAGGTGTTATACTAGTGTGGTTTATGAAACCCTTGAATATGGATATCAAGGCTCCCCTTATGATCTTTTGACTCACTTAGGCTACAAAATTTATGCAGGTTAAATATTCAGAGCTTACCCTTGACACGTACAGAATGCTCCAGAGTCTAGAATGGGAACCTTCTGGTGCATTTTACCATTCAGGAAGTGGTGCAGGTCAAGATGGAACAACAAAAAATAGTGGCAGTAACCACACACAAGATATTACTGATCCAACCCTGCCTCGCAATCCACGGAAAGCTGTCCTTTATCGGCCTTCAGTTACACATTTCATTGCGGTATGCTAATCTAAGAATGAATAATTGAATAGTGTGCAGAATTTACTGTATTGATTTGATAGTAGGTTTTCTCATGCTTGTTGAGCTGCAAACGCCTGCTTAAATTTAAAAAGTTTTGTGTAACAAACGTTAACTTATAGTGATATCTATCTAATCTTGCACTACTTGGCAGATTCTGGCAACAGCTTGCGATGAGCTTCCTGCTGATGGTGTTCTCTTCATCTATCTATCAGGTAGCTTTGGCCTTCTGGGGACATAATATTCCTGGCTATGTTAGTTTTCCATGCTTAAAAAGGTCTGGTTTGTGCTGTCTCTTATGTAATTCAAAATCTATCAGGAAAAAGTGGGTCAATTTTCTCACCTTCTTCTGGTGCGGGCAGTCGTCTTGGTCCTGAGAGCAGTGTCAAGATTCTTCTCCAATCTCAGACCGCCTTGCATGCAACTTCCATGACTGATGGTCACAGCCCTTTATGCGGCCAAAGTGAAGAAGCTTTATCAAATAGCCCCCTAGACTGCATACATATTGGGTGCCGTGGAAATGAAGGTATTATAAATCCTTTTTTTTAAACCCCGTGTGAATTAAGTAGCTACTCCGAGATAGATGTGAAAATATAAGCCTGTACAGGTTTGTTTTGCTCTCTTTCTCTCCGGTGTCTGTTCATGTCATACTTTCGTCTGTGGAAGATGAATCTTTTAGCCTCTTTAACTTTGAGGGTCAGGATTAATGTGGTCATCACTGATACACGACAATACCTTTACCAAATCCCGAGCCCAAGTCATTTAGGTCAATGTAGTTGCCAACCTAAGTCACAGCTATGCTAAAAGTTGAGGTACTAGAGGATGTTATTGTTAGCATTGCAATCCTCAAAAGTCCCCTTTGTGCCCTGCAGATATTTCAATTTTTTTCACCCGTTTTGGAAGACACTAACCAGATAGATATTATATTATAACTTTCAGTCGATGCGTATACCTTTTGAATTGGTTAATATTATTATTAGTATTATTATTTTTTATTTTTATTTTTTAGCGTTTATGGCTGGAATCTATGGATAGTAGATTCAATTTTTTTTCTCCGCATGACTTCCATGTTGCCTATTCCATCTTTCTGGAATTCAATTTGCCTGTCTGTCCTGCCTCTTTCAAGACAAACTGTCTCCAAGTTAGTTTGTGTGCATGTGCTTCTTTTGTACTAGGGGAAAGTCAATTACTTGTATGTATTATTAGAACACTGAATAACTAAAATTAGCATCACTTTAATGAAATGCAAATTGGTTTTTGATTGTTTTCTTTTGTCCTTCAAGCATAATTTTATTCATTAGTTGTCAACATTCCTTTTCAGGTTCCAGTTACATTTACCCTTCAGACTTGCTTCCATTTACAAGAAGGCCTCTCTTCATTGTCATTGACAGTGAGAGCAGTGGGTCAGTCAAGGCAAGTCTCTAAGCTTCTACTTATTGATTTGCATTTTATCCTGAAACAGTTCAGATGCATAGCTCTAAATTGGTACTTTTCCTGAAGTCACATGTTATTACAGGGATTCAACAGAGGTCCATGGTAATCTTGTTTCCATTTCTTGTAAAGGGGCAGGAGGGATTCTCAATTCATTAGGCATTTGAGGATGTGTGATAACAATTCTATAAATTTGCTTCATAATAGTTTTTATGTAGCACTGACAAGCAGACTTCCCATTTTCTTGTTCTGCCTTTGACCTTTATTAACCTTTACACTCTTCACTTTTGCATAGAAAATCTACTTGATGTGTTCACACAACTTTACTCATCTGTTGTTGATGAGAGATTTGTTTGCAAGATAAAAAAGGAAAGTATAATTTCTTACGATTGTTTCATTATTGGTGAATCACACAAAATTAAAGTGATAGCAGAACTGATTGCATAAGTTTTAAATTGAAAAATGTATGATAAGTGGAAAATAGATATGTGTGATGCTGTGGTCTTGCATATGATTGCATTGGTCTTTGTGATAACTAATAATATAGAATGTATGTGGACTTTGCCTTTATCTGATTTCGTCTTTGCTGACTATTAAACATAAATTTAGCACTTTAAACTGTGTTTTTAAGGCTGATACCTCACGCTTGTTTCTGGTTATTGCCTTATGATCAGAGCAATGACTTATACCAGGACCTGCCAAATTATAGGTTAATAGTTTAGTGGGTTCACCAACTTGAAATAGGTTAGTGCAAAGAGAAACATAACCATCTTCTCTTGTCATATAGTGTGCTTTAAACATTATATGGTTAACTTACAATATCTTTATTCTCAGTCGCTGACATTTTTTGCTCTGCTTCATATTTGTACTTTTATAGTTAATCTGATTTCAGACTTCTTTTGCATGGTTTTCTGTTCTGCTAGGGTTTTATTCCTAAATGCTGCAGCAATTACTTTCAGTAGTCCTCACTGATGGATGACTAGTTCTCCATGTGTTCTGTTAAATATGTGTAGATTATAAGTGGATCAGAAAAAGGAGAATCAGCTGCTATGCTTTTGTCTCCAAAGTCTTCACCCTCTACTTCCACTGGTGAATGGTCTCGGCATTTAAATGGGAGCCTGTTTACCATCTTTCTCACAGCTCCCATCCAAGCTTTCTGCCTCCTGCTGGGATCTTCTGGGTCTGATATTCAAACGGTGGGCGTGTAAACTTCTCTGCTCATTGCTTTTCTTGAATTAAAATTTGTATTGTTATGTAGACTTACGAAATTGTTATGGCCAGGATCTGTATGATACTGCTGACAAGCTTCTTTCTTCTTCTCTAAATGACTGGGGGTTGACTTTAGCTACATCAGGTTCTCTTGATCCTGTTTGGTCCCAAGTTTTCTGCGATCCATTCCTCAGGCGACTCCTACTTAGGTACTGTTTGAATGTGTCCATTCTTTTGTTACTCAAATGACATATATGTGTGGATTGATGCATTTGCACTAAACTGAGTTAAACCTTATCGATTCAGTCTTGATAAAAGGGTGTCTAATCTTGTAAGGCTACCTACATACAGATTTTAGATGATCTTCTGTTGTTATTGTTGCTGTGACAATGTGGTTTTTTGTCTTCAGCAAGGAGTGACATTAACCTAGACAAATGTTGAAGATACTCGACAGTTTTTTAAACTCATGTTTGTTCAAGATTCAATATTATTGCAAGGCATATTTAAGAAACTGTCCTAGATCCTTCACCCTGGTTTGGTTATAGGCTCAAATCCTTCTTTCATTCCATATCTTGCCCCCTTTTTTTTTTTTGAACCTTTTCTATCTATTGTCTACCTAACTATAGATGATATCTGCTGCACAAGAAACTCATTCACCCTGCAGCTTAGAGTTGTGAGACTTATCCAGAAGGAATTTGCACAAGGTCCAAGAAAGCTCGGGGGGGGGGGGAGGGGGGGTAGAGTGAGAACAGGATTCAATCAGCCTTTCAGGTCTCTGATGACAATCTTTATGATTGATGATGTTCAATTCAGCTGACTGAAGTGTTTCTTTGTCACGTTGCAGATTCATATTTTGCCGTGCCGTGCTTGCCCTCTATGCTCCTTCACATGAGAAGGGTGAATTCATTCCCCAGTGCCTGCCTTCTCTCCCTGAATTTGTTCATCCCTCATCACATGCAATTCAATCTACAATTCTGCAAATTGCAAATGTGTTTGATGCCAGAAGCAGTTTCATCTTTTCTGAGGATTTAATACCTCAAGAAAACAGTCACATTTCTCAAGAATAAGGTAATTATGAAGCACTTTAAACTGCTCATCTAGGTTATAACATGGTAACTAGAGCACCATTCTTTATGCTTAAGATGCTGACATCTTCTGCAACTGTCTCCTCTTGTCTGTCATTACAATTTATGAAGCACTTCTTTTGGCCTTTGTCTTCTGTTCTGTTTCGTTCTGGTTTTGTCTAAGGTCAGAATCGAGCCTTCTATGTCAAGGACAATGTTTGGTAAATAATAGGTCCAGAATGGATCGCCACAATTCCCTTAGGATGATAATTTGCTGCCCAAGGGGTCGAACTCAGGGAATGACTCTAAACCAGTCTCATACACTCATTTGTACTTAGCTTGACAACCAGGTTATTGCTTCATTTAGCTCCTACTTAAAATTCGTGTTGGCCGTTGGCAACTTTCAAAGTTCTAGTGCTTCGGTTTTAGGTATTGAAATGTAAAGCCTCATTTTTTTAACAGTATTGATGAATCTGCTCTTCTTTTTTTTTTTTCCTCCAAAACTTCTATATTTTTAGTCGCTTTATTCAAAATGTATATACTCCGTATAAATGATTTTTTATGGCGTGGTTTTCTTAATGATCTTCATGATATTCTGGTATTTCTAAGATTGATAAGCATGTTATTATAGTACTAAATAAATTTATAATGAAATTATGATCTTTATTGCAATATTTATTTAGCAGAGTTTATGGCAACTTTTGTGATTCCATGATATTTTTTTTTCTATTGCCATAGAGTGATAGAGTTATTTACCGAAGTTTTGGCAAGTTTTGTGACTTGGTGCCCTATAAAAACATAAATTAGGAAAATTGTGAAACTTTAAAAAGTTAATTTAATTTATATCTACTTGTCAAAAAAAAAAAAAAAATATATCTGAATACAGAGTACTCCTAATTTGACAAGTGCCCTTATTTAAAACATATTCTATATTATTTATTGAAGACTTTTATCAATTTATGTAATTGAATAGGTAGAGTATATTTTCTGGTTTAAAATTTTCCTTTTTTTTTTTGACATAAGCTTAACTGGTTTAAAATTTTCATGTCGGTAATAGATTAATAGTATAGAGTAATGTACGAAGTATTAGTTAGAATCCATAAAAATATTAATTAATTAATTAATTGTGCTCTTGGACTTTTACTTTTGTTTGCATATGCTTCCGTATTACTCTTTAGGTTTGGGAGTTTTTCGCCTTAAAACATAACATACTTGAGTACAAGAAAAGTATCAATTAAATTCAGTAGTGTGACTAGTGTCATTCATAAACTTTAAGGAACGTACATTGATTAATTAGAATGAAGAGAAAATGTGCATCAATACAATAAGAACCAAATAATAATAAATAAAAAATAATATATATATATATATATATATATATATATATATAAGAATCTTTAAAAGTAACAAATTGCAATACTTATTGTATTTTGATAAATTGTTTATTCAATACGGGACTAGTTTTTGATGCAAAGCCGGGGGCAGGAAAGTTGATGCAAATACGGGACTAGTTACTACCAAAAAAAAAAAAAAAAAAAAAAAAAATAAATAAAATTGGGTACATCTTAGGCTACATGTAAGCCGCATATAATACCAAGACATAGATAATAAAAGGAACAAGGAGACATATCACCGGCGACAGCAGTTTTGGCAAGATCACCGGCACAAATATTAGACATGCCAGCACTACGGCAAGCATAAGTATAAATACAGACATTTTTCACGATTACCACCTTAAAATATTGGTTTGTTTTTTCTTTTCTTGAGTAGTGAGATAATTAAGAGGTACAAATTGTTTACATGTTATGTAATAAACTCCTATATACAGTGGCGGATCCAGGATTTAAATAATAGGTTGTCACATCCCATCATCGTCCACTGACCGCATAAAATATCAAAAATAGTCAAAGCTTGAATAATGAACAAAAAAAATACATAAAAAGTTCATTTCATAAAGTAATTCAAATTCATATTACAACTAAAAAAGTACTAATTTTATTACAATTGCTCTCGACGAGTTTTCATATTTTGATAACGATGTACAATATCATCCATGCTAACATTGTAAAACAAATCTCTTTCTGGATAAGTAATCAAACAATCATTCAACATTTGATCTCCCATGCTATTACGCAATTTATCTTTTACTTGCGTCATTCCAGAAAATACTCTTTCTACACTTGCCGTTGCAACGGGAAGAATCAACACTAACTTCAAAAGTAAGTAGACTCGATCATGAGTTTCAAACTTTCCCGTCTCAACAAGTTTCGTAGAAAGTTCACTTAGACTTTTCAAATTCCAAAATTTCTCATCATTTCGAACATCAACAATGAAATTTTCAAGTGAATGTTTAAAAAATAATAGCAGCTTTTAGAGTCAAAGAACTAGTATTAGGAACATGCACAATACCAAGAAAACGCTCACTTTTTTAGTAAAAAAACTTGAAATGTCTCGAGTTGTTTTTCTTTTCATTCTGAAATTGAAGTTAAAGGGTGAATGAGATAAATCAATCTAAATGTTTGACTTATCCAAATTTCCCACAATGATAACCAACAAGAAAACTACTTTACACCACTATAAAGATGTATAAGCATAACATTTCTATTAATCCAACTATCACAAAAATAGCATACAATCAAAAACAGAATCAATGAACATTGTAAGAAATTTCATACAAACAACTACTACCCATTTTCGTTAACCTTTCTTTTATAAAGTCAAATTATTATTAATCCATCATACTCTCTAATGACTTTTTTTCTACCAACAAATCAACATCAACAAGTTATAAAACATGACTAAATCAACTAGTGTAAAGGGTTTGTCACAGGTAAAGTTGTCCTCTTTGAGTCTTTGATAACCAATTTTGCCCAATTTCACAGCCACTCCCTCCCCTTGACCCCTTCCCTACACCACCACCGAAACCAGTAAGGCAGACAGTGAGACAGGCAGTAAGCCAGTAAACCACCCTAATTCCCTAAAATAGCACAATTTACACAAATACACAATAGTTATAGGCTTATAGAACTACAATTAAATACACGATTAACAAAAATAAATACACAAATACAAGTACGATTAACCCCCATTTCAATTTCTACTTCCATTAACAAAAAATTCGTACACCATTTGTCAAATTGTCAAGAGTAAAGAGTTCAAGATCTAACCTGGCTATAGGCAGTAGGCTGCTTCAATGAAGGAGCGAAGCTCAGCGTGAGGCGTGACTCAGAGCCTCTGAAAGAGTGAAAGTACGAAGCCCCTTCAATGGAGAATTTCGACCCTGCAATTATCAACTCATTTATCAACCCACAATTATCAAAATTCGAATGATTGACTCAATTATCAACCCACAATTACCAAAATTTGAAGAACCCTAAATAATTACAGAAAAAGAACTTAAACAAGATCTAACCTTTGACTCCTTTGAGATTGTTTCGGTGGAGAAGAAAAAGCTCAAACGCCCCTTCAATGGAGTTTTAGCGAGTAGCCGACTAGCCGAGTATGCTTGAATGCTTGAAGCTTCAATTCTTCAATGGAGCCATGGAGGATAGAGTAGAGAGAGAGGGGGGATTAGGGGAAGCGTGGCTGTGTTGTAAGGGAATTAGGGGTTCTGGGTCTTTGGGAGTGGAAAGATGCGTGAGTGAGTGTAATTGTTTTTTTTTTTTTTTTTTCAAAATTAATAGTGTGTCACCGGACCCACTATGACACTAAGTGGGTCCGCCCATGCCTATATACTTCCTCCGTTTTTTTTATTGCATCATAGGGGTTTTGGAGGCAAAATTTGGTAGTGGGAAAAAGTAAGAGAGAGAAACGTAAAAATACAAAATTGTCCATGTAATGTAAGATAAAATAAAAAGTAAGGGTATGTTGGGTATTTGCAGTGTGAACATAGATATTTTTTATCCTAAAAAAGAAATGATGCAATAATAAGTAAACTTCCTAAAGTAGTAAGTGATGCGATAAAAAAAGAACGGAGGAAGTATAAGACTTTTACCCTAAACCCTTCACTTAAAAAAGGAAATATTAATAATTTCCTTAAAACCATACATTAGATTTTATTTCCTATAATTATTCAAAAGATAAACTTTGAAATTTTTTTTTCTTTTTTACTAGAGTTTTTATGTCATAAAAGGAAGAAATTAACCCGTTGGAATGCAGTCCATAATAATAAGTCCAAATAAAAAGCATGGAATTCGCCCCTAAAGAATGCGCTATTGTAATAAGATGTACTCTGTCGTGTCTATTATCAATCCACAATATGTTACATCAATAATTACACAATACATCCATGTAAAACACAATACATAAATTACAAAACCAATAAATGAATGATTTCAAGAATATTGTTGTATACATAAACAAAGAATGTTATGTCAATTTATCAAGTAATGGTAATATTTGTAAGAGAGTTGGGATTGGACTGTTCAACATCAGCAAAAGACAGCTGCTTGTTAGTCTTCTTGGCAACAATAATGGAAAGCACTCCATCTTTGTAAGCTGCCTTGATATCTTCATGGTTAGCATCTGCTGACAATGTAAACTTCCTCATGTACCTTGCTCTCCTCCTTTCTATCCTTATCACCTTCACCCCCTCGTTCCCGGTTGTCGTCGGTTCGCCGATGATCTGCTTCTTTTTCTTCTTTCCTGATACATGAAGTATCCCTTTTTCTACCTTCACCTGTCAATGCAAATATGTGTTGATATTTATATTTGTCAAATATGTGCTCAAGTAATTCTTGGCTTATTAATAATTTCAACACAACATAATCTATATTTTGATTATATTTTTGATGGGGTGATCTATTGCTCTATAGTTTAGTACAGAATTCTATTGATGAATTATTGAAGTGGACCAATTCTACAACCTATATATGATCTTTTTGACTTTACACAAAGTAACGTTGTATCGTTCCAATTTTATCTATCAGATGTCTCCAAATAGACACGCGTAAATTGTCATGCATATGTTTTTATACTTGATACATTTGAGAAATCAAGGAATGAATATATCCTATTACATGAACACAGAACAAGTAAATTACCAATTAAAAGATAAAAAAAACGAGATCGAAAACGGGTAATAATAATTAATGTAACAAGAGTGGTTACATACCTTAATGTTGTGAGCATCAAGACCAGGCATATCAAGAATAAAGGAGTAAAAAGAAGGGTGTTCATAAATATCAGCTGGTGTTCTCAATGTTGTCTTCTGTTGATCATTCTTCTTTCCACCATTCATCTTCCCTTGATTATCTCCTTCTGCTTCATGATCTTCTCTTACATAATCATGATTATCATTCACTAATCCTACTTTCTCCATTTCTTTTGCCACTTCCTCCATTAATCTGATATTATTTTTTGACTTTATTAAGGGCTCATTATCTTAGGATTAGTGTACAATATCATCATCATATATAGGCAAGTTTAATAGAGGTATCTAGAATATATTATTTTATAAGTTGGCCTGTTCTATGCTTCTAGATAATGTTACATCAAATTGTGATATGCTGCCATGTTCTATGATGCTTAGCTTTCACCTTTGTGAAGACTTGGTTTTAGAAAAGCATTTTTCTCCAAAATATCATCACTTTTTTATGTACCTGATTTTTACTAAACTTATTAGAATTTATTTTATATGAACTTGTGTTAGAACCCGTTAGACCTTATTAGAATTTATTTTAGTTGTAGCTCGTGTATCTCTTATATATCATCATTATTAGAATTTATTTTTCCTAAACAGGCGGGCCTTAGCATTGCAATAATCTTATTGGGTGGGTTGGAGCAGGTTAATATTAGACGGGCCAATAACTAAATGAAAAAGAAAATTTTAATTTTGATGCTATATTATCCAAGTTCAATGTCCACCAAAAAAAAAATGATTTTACTGGTTTGAAATTTTTAATCATCTTTCTCTTGTACTGTTTAGTGTGAAGCGCGATTAATGTATGTTTTCACTCTATATAATTCCAATAAATATTATTCGCTCACACATGTAATACAGAGTAATATTTTATTTATCGTATCATTGTATTAAGGTGTGATCTCTAAAACAAGAATGGGAATACATTTAAAGCAATTGGAAAAATGTTTCTATTGAAGTCAACCGGCTATGGTATAGAGTATAGACCACAATCCAAGTTATCCAACTTCAGAAGTTGTTTAGAGGGTTGTAAAGGATAGGTAATGCATAAGATGAAATACAATTGCGCGATTAGAATATTAACTCCCAAATATTTTACGTACGGAGTAACATCTAGAATATTTGTTTTTTTTTTTTTTTTTTTTTTGACACAAACCGGAAGCACAGTATTTTATTAAGGCGTCAAGTTTGCAAGATCATTACAAATGGCCCCTTGTATTTCAAAAGGGTACTCTTCTAACCATATACGACACTTATTAAAATTGCAACTTAAACTAGCCAAACTATGAGCAACACCATTGCCAACTCTTCTAATAAAAGAAAACTCAACTCGTCTGCAATCTTTCACGAGCATGAGGATGTCAGCGAATATTTGTTATCTCAACACAATAAGAAACATATTAGCAAGATACATATACCATTACCCAATAAAATAAATTACTTGTATATACTTATATAAAGCATAGTTTAGCTGATAGAAGATCCTAACATAGGATTCTAATAGCTTCTAATTCAATATCATTGTCTAAATATGAAACTTTCATAGCTTAGTTGTACAAGTGTAATTATGTTGTTTTTACACAAAACTCAAAATTAAAAGTTGAATGTCTCATGTAGTAACACCTACATTCAATAAAAGCAATAAAAAATTCACAATGTAACGAAGGGAAAAAAAAAGTATATATAATACAAGAATTAAGGAGAATCCCAAGTACAAACATAGTAATATGTTAATTCTAATAACTGAAATAAATACACATAATTGAAACATAATTGACTTTTAAAGGTCAAATGCTTCTCTATGTGTTTTGGTTGTTTTATGATTAAATCTATCTGGTTTAATTCATAGTGAACATTTGATGCACAATGCTTACAAACTAAATGATATTATTAAATCTCCATAATGAGAAAAATATTAATTAGATAAGATATTTTAAACTCCTAAATCAGCAATAATTGGTAAAGAAGTAATGAAATTAATTTTAAAGCCTCATTAAGAACCACACATTACCCTTTAAATACCCCCCTCAAGTTAACCTCATTTCTTACCACTTACACAAATTAGCTTTGTCATGTCTATTCTTTCCAATTCTTCTAACATGGCAAAGAAGGAATCGAGAGGTCGCCAAAAGATAAAAATGGCTAGGATTAAAAACCCGAGTCATAGACAAGTTACCTTCTCAAAACGCCGTCTAGGGTTGTTTAAGAAGGCTAGTGAAATATGCACTCTTTGTGGTGTAGAAGCCATTATAATTGTTTTTTCCCCTGGCCAAAAAATTTTCTCTTTTGGATACCCAAATGTTGATTCTATAGTTGATCATTACCTTAGTCGTAACCCTACAAGTCGACAAACATCGAGCAATGGTACCAAATCTGAAGGCGTTGGTGGTCAACAAAGCTCTACTATGCGCGAACTCAACTTGCAGTTAACCAAAATTCTTGATCTCCTAGAGACTGAAAAGAGTAGGGGAGATGTGTTTAACACCTTAAAGAGGAAGCCTAACCAATGTTGGTGGGAGGCGCCTATTGATAAACTTGGCTTGCATGAACTCAAAATTTTGAGTGCTTCAATGGAAGATCTTAAGAAAAATATAGCTAATCAATCTAATTTTCTTGAGAAAACACTTTCTTCTTCATCAGCTTTAGGCATGAATAAAGGTAATGGCGCCGGAGTTTCTGATCAACAACATTTTGACCTTAAATCTATTGAGGCCAAAATTGAAGGGTTTGCTCTTCCTGATCATCTAATTGGCACCTTTCATGCACCAAAATTCTTCTGATATTGCCTCTGTTTTTCTGTTTATTGACTAGAATCTCACTAGTCCTACCTACTGGTTTTGTTTCCTCGTTTTCGCTATGGTTGTTTTTTCCTCTCTTATGCTATGGATGTTTTTTTTTTGTTCTTCCATGTTGAAATAATTTCATATCAGGAAACTATCTACAAGTTCAGTATGTAATAAATTTTCTTCATGCAATAAAAGTAGCAGAGATTCTTCTATTTGGTTTTGGCTGTCTATATATCACTCCTACTGTTACATTTTGCCTAAATCTACATTTACTGACAGCTACTCATATTAATTACCATTTTTCGGTTACCTTATTTTGCTATGATTATTATTGCAATGATTTATATTAAGGCCATAAAGTATTATAACATAAATTTTCAAGCTAATGGCATATGAAATCAGAAAAGTAGTGTCATTAAAATATCTTACTGTCATCGAAATTGTTTGAATCTCCGAATTTCATGTGTTTAACTGATATTGCTAAATGAAGAAGATCAATAAATACAGAAAACGGGAATGACAATAAACCAATGTCAACAGACAAGACTCATGAGATATACAGCAAAAATTACAGCATGCTCTTTGTTTTAACATAAGATCAGCAAAAGATCTACAGCCGTAAAAAACATAACTAAAAAGAAATAACCTTCTACATGGTCTAATTCTTTGGAATGTTTTTGCCGACAATCTTTGCTGGTGCTAGCCGCAAGAGGTTTCCTGGTTTACCAGGTAAGGCCCCTTTGATCATGACAACACGAAGATCAGTGTCAACCTTCATGATCTTCAGCTTGCGGATCTTTGTTTTTGTTCCTCCCATCCTTCCAGGCATTTTCTTGCCTTTGTATACATGACCTGGAGTTGTTCCAGCTCCAATGGATCCCAAGGCTCTATGACTTTTCGATCCGTGAGTCATAAGACCTCTCTTGAAGTTGTGCCTTTTGATTCCACCTGTGTACATAACAAATTCAGAGCAATGCAAATTTACTCTGCATCTTTGTGACCAGGGCAGCATGATGAACTCATATCAATAATAGACAGTTAATACACCGGCAGAGAAAGACAATATGATAACTGACTAACTGATAAGAGATACATGAGATATCAAGTCAACAATTACCAACGACGCCAAACCAAGTACTCCGTACAGAAAATCTATTATCTATCAAGTCTTTTGGTTTCTGGTTTTTGGTATTTGACGATATTGTGTACAGATGCAACTTGGATCTGGGAACAAAGAAGACAGCTACATTGTATGCAGATTTAGGAGGTTCTGTTGCCAGCTGCTACGTGTAGGTAAACTAGAAGGTTTGGTTGAGTGTTTAAGCTGCTTTTGTGGCAGAACAAGCTGCTAATGCTGTTACTTTAAAGCACACTGGTCTACACATTTCATCATCAGATGATAAAAAAATAACCTTGGGTGCACCATTGCACCCAGGTTTATTGAATTTTCAACAGTTGCTATGGTATGCTATTGCTATATATTGTGAAATATAAGTGGCATCAGTATCAGGTAAGTTATTTGTGTTTGGTGTCCTTCCTAGGAAATTCATGAGGGGAGAATAATAAAGCATTCCTTGTTTTTGTCTTTGGGGATGGTGTTTCAGTAGCTGGTATGCTCACCCTATTTTTTTTTCTAAGTACCTAGCTCCATTTTTTGAATCAGAAAAGAGTTATCATTATTCCTAGACTAGACGCGTCCTAATCGCATCAAAGCCCTAAGAACCACTCGAAGACAAAAACATGTGTAGGCTATGTTGTTACATTCTGAAGCCCATCTTTGGACTGAAAAACCTATAAAACAGACTTCCTTGTTGAAGGTAAATTTCAGACAAATGTCAAAATGTTCAACAAGTTTTAAAGGTAGACCAGTAATTACTTGCACTCATCAATTAACCTTATCAGCAATTGTAAAACATACTAAAGACAATTGGCAACAAGATAAATATATTGGAGAGAGCATGAGTGAGAGACAGAGAACCTTGGAACCCTTTCCCGATGGTTGTACCAGAAACATCCACCAGATCACCTTCCTTGAAGAGATCCTCAAACAATATTTTCTGACTAGGAGTGAAGTCATCTACAGATACAAGCCGAAACTCCTGAAGATGACGCATGGGAATGATACCAGACTTGTTCAGGTGCCCAAGCTCGGGCATGGTGAGCTTACGATCCCTAACCCTCTCGTAACCCACTTGCACTGCATTGTACCCATCTGTAGACTCTGTCTTCACCTGAGTAACTATGTTTCCCTCCTTGAACCCTACAACAGTGACAGGAACTACAGTACCATCCTCCTCGAAAAAACTCATCATTCCTAGCTTAGTACCCATGACACCAACCCCAGCCTCCACACTCATCTTAATCTCCAAACCCCCAATTGCTCTTCTAAGTGGTGTAGACCTAGGGCTGACAGATTTTAGTTTGATAATCTGATTGGGGGAGCAAAGAAACGACGAAGACAGACGCAAGGACTGAAACTTAGGAGTACCCATGACCGAACATGACGAAGATACAGATTTTGAATTGTACAAGCTCCGTTTACTGCTTGAATAAGTGCAGCTACTACTTTTTACAGACAATGTGGGTGAGATTGCTGCCATGATGGCACTGTAAACACAGAAAAACCCACAAAAATTGAACCCAAATCAATTAATGTTCCAAGGAAAATGCAGCAAGATGTCAAATTCGATTTGAAAACGAAAATCTAAGTCTTAAAGCAGACAATATCACAAACTGTATACAAGTATATAGAACAACAAAATGGGTAAATTATAATTAGAAAACCAAACTACTTAACAAAATTATTCAAACAAACAATATTTATCCCACATTTCAAACTAATATGAACCTTAATAATCATCTGAGCTGATAGAAATAACAAATTTTCAGGAAATTAATACAAACTACCCCATCAATTAGGTGAAATATGCACAATTTCAACAACTCCCACTAAAAATATATAGAATTACCCATGTTCTAAAAAAGATAAAAGAAAATTTCGTAACACAGATAAAAAATTCAAGCATAGAATGATAGAATCAATTAAAAAGATCCCAAATTCGAGAAATTTTGCCAGTAACTATAAATTATAATGACCCAATAGATAATTACATTAACAAGAAATTGAAAATTTAGAGCTTACAAATTGTAATTGTAGAAGTAAAAACTCAAAAATGGGAAGTAGGAGAGAGAAAAAAAAAAAAAAAAAGCAAGAAAAAAATGCAGAAAGCCGGAAGAAATGGAGGAGGCATACCTTTCTGCAGTGAGCAACTTCGGAAGTTGAAGAGAAATGAGAGAAGGAAGAGGATAATGAAGATAGATAAGGAACAATTACTTTACTTTGTGTTTTGGACTTTTGGTTATTTGTATTGGGCTGGTGGTTGAAGTATAATTTTGTCATTTTGAAAGGTATTGGTGAACTTAACTTGGGAAGAGGATAACCTGTTTTGTACATTCGGGTGTACGTATATCCGAGTAATTTACTCATTAATTGTTGCTCATTTAATGAAGATAGATAAGGAACAATTTGTCTCGTGGTTTGCACGTGGTTTTGTATCGGTCTAGCCCAATTACTTTACTTTGTGTTTTGGACTTTTGGTTATTTGTATTGGGCTGGTGGTTGAAGTATAATTTTGTCATTTTGAAAGGTATTGGTGAACTTAACTTGGGAAGAGGATAACCTGTTTTGTACATTCGGGTGTACGGTATATCCGAGTAATTTACTCATTAATTGTTGCTCATTTAATAAATGAACATTTTTATGCTCATTTATTAAATGAGCAAAAATTGATGAGCAAATTATCCGAGTGTGCCGTACACCCAGGTAGAGCTGTCAATTCGGGTAAACGGGTTGGGTTTGGGTCGGCTAAGAATGGGTCAGGTTAATTCGGATTAATTCCATAACCTATGTGGGTCAAGTTTGGGTCCGGTCATGCTTGAGTCGGGTCATACTTCTTATCGAGTTTGGGTCGGGTTTAGGTCGGATAAATAACAGGTCGGGTTATATTCAGGTCTGGTTTAATTCGGGTTTTCACGGGTTAAAACAGGTTAGGGTAATTCTCGGGTTCGGTTCAAGTCAATAATTTGCGGGTTAGAATCAGGTCGGGTCATTCTCGGGTTTGAGTCGGGTTCAGTTCAAGTCAATAATTTGCGGATTATAATCAGATCGGGTCATTTTCAATTCGGGTCATTCTCGGGTTCAAGTCGGGTTCGGTTCAAGTCAATAATTTGCGGGTTATAATCAGGTTGGATCATTTTCAAGTCGGGTCATTCTCAGATTCAAATCGGGTTATGTTCAAGTCAATAATTTGCAGGTTACAATAGGTCGGATCATTTCTAAGTCAAGTCATATTCGAGTTCAACTAACTATAAATAGATAATTATCATTTTTATCAAACTAATTATTTCCTTTGACTATAATATATATGACAATATACTAGGGAACTATAGTCTATAATTTAGGAAGATAATTATCTCCTTTGACCATACAACAAATAATATATTATATTTAACTCTTAAATTTGAGGATGATGCTTCTTTCTTTCGCTGGCCTAGACCGACTTGGTCTCCCTAAGCTAGACAAAATGCTTTGATCAACAATAATAAGGTGGTCTAAATTGCATTTAAGGTGATTTGAAATAGGGTCAGGAACAATTTGGGGTGAATTTAGGTCGAGTCAATAACAAGTCGTGTTAATTTCGAGTCGGGTTAGTAACACGTCGGGTTGATTTTTTGGGTCATGTAAGTAATACAAGTAGGTCTGGTAAAATTCGGGTCGGGTTAATAACAAATCGGGTTGAATTTGGGTCTGGTCAATAACAATTCGGGTTGATTTCGAGTCGGGTTTGTAACAGGTTGTGTTAAATTCGGGTCGGGTTAGGAATGGGTCGGGCTGAATACAGGTCAGGTTTGTAACAAGTCGGGTTAAATTCTGGTTTTGACGGGTTAAAACAAGTTAGGGTCAATTTTGGTTCAAGTCGAGTTTGGTGCAAGTTAATTAAATTGGCTGTTGTAAACCGGTAAATCGGTGCAAGTTGTAAACCGGTAAATTGGTCGTTTAACAGCAAATTGAATGGTTCCACACACCCAATTGGACTCTCGTAGGGTATTAACGACCATGGTAAACATTTTGGCAATTTTTATTTTTGAGCAAAAAAAAGTCAAAAATTTTCAAAATTGAAGCCTAAATATCCACGCTTTTTGAGAAACTTTTGAGGTTTCAGGGGCCGGTGTCGAAAAGCCTTGAGATTTTAGCGAATACATCTCGGGGTCATATAATGATGTTTGGAACCATATATGATCATTATATATATGTTGTCATAAATGTTCCTGGTAGTCTTGAGTTAATGAAATCGGTGCAAGTTATAAACCGGTAAATAGGCCGTTTAAAGGCAAATTGGATGGTTGCACCCACCCAATTGGACTCCCGGAATGTATTAGGGATCATGGTAAACAGTTCGGCAATTTTTATTTCTGGACGGAAAAAAGTCAAAAAATTCCAAAATTGAAGGCTAATATCTACATTTTTTGAAAATTTTTGGAGGTTTCGGGGACCAATGTAGAAAAGTCTTGATATTTTAGGGGATAAATCTCGGGGTCATATAATGCCGTTTGGAACCATATATGATCATTATATGTTGTCATAAATGTTCGTAGTATGCTTGAGTTAATGAAATCCGTGCAAGTTGTAAATCGGTAAATTGGTCGTTTAAAGGTAAATTGGATGGTTCCACCAACCCAATTGGACTCTCGAACGATATTAGGGACCATGGTAAATATTTCGGCAATTTTTATTTCCGGACGAAAAAAAAGTCCAAAAATTCCAAAATTGAAGACTAATATCCATGTTTTTTAAGGAATTTTGGAGGTTTCAGGGCCCGGTGTCGAAAAGTCTTGAAATTTTAGGGGGTATATATTGGGGTCATATAATGTTGTTTGGAACCATATATGATCATTATTTGTTTTCATAAATGTTCGTGGTAGGCTTGAGTTACTGAAAACGGTGCAAGTTGTAAACCGGTAAATTGGTCATTTAAAGGCAAATTGGAAAGTTCCACCCACCTAATGCACACCCGGACGTTATTAGGGATCATGGTAAACATTTCGGCAATTTTTATTTCCGGGCAAAAAAAGTAAAAAAAATTTCAAAATTAAAGGCTATATCCAAGCTTTTTGAGAAATTTTGGAGGATTTAGGGCCTAGTGTCGAAAAGTCTTGAAATTCTAAGGGATACATCTCGGGGTCTTATAATGTCGTTTGGAGCCATTTATGATCATTATATGTTGTCATAAATGTTCGTGGTAGGCTTGATTTAATGAAATCGGTGCAAGTTGTAAACTGGTAAATTGGCCGTTTTAAGGCAAATTGGATAGTTCAACCCACCCAATTGGATTCCTGGAGGGTATTAGGGACCATGGTAAAATTTCGGCAATTTTTAATTCCGGGCGAAAATAAGTCATAAAATTCCAAAATTGAAGACTTATATACACGTTTTTTGAGAAATTTTGGAGGTTTCGGGTAACGGTGTCGAAAAGCCTTGAGATTTTAGGGAATAAATTTCGGGGTTATATAATGACGTTTGGAACCATATATGATCATTCTATGTTGTCATAAATGTTCGTGGTATGCTTGAATTAATAAAATTGGTGCAAGTTGTAAACCGGTAAGTTGGCCGTTTAAAGGCAAATTAGATGGTTCCACCCACCCAATTTAGGGGTGGCAATTCGGGTCAGTGGGTCGGGTTCGCGTTAGATTTCGGGTTATGCTTAGAAATAATAAAAAATAGTGTAAAACTTAAAATTATTACGAAATATGAAATTTTGGTCAAATCGGGTCGAATTTGGGTTATTCGAGTTCGGGTCGGGTCGGGTTCGGGTTTCTCTCATTAACTTTGGGTCGGGTTCGTTCGGGTTATCGGGTCGGGTCGGGAATTGCCAGCCATAACCCAATTGGACTACTGGAGGGTATTAAGGACCATGGTAAACATTTCGGCAATTTTTATTTTTGGGCGAAAAAAAGTAAAAAATTTTCAAAATTGAAGGTTAATGTCCACGCTTTTTGAGAAATTTGGAGGTTTCGGAACCCGGTGTCAAAAAGTCTTGAGACTTTTGGGAATACATATGGGGGTCATATAATGCCGTTTGGAATCATGTATAATCATTATATGTTGTCATAAATGTTCGTGGTAGGCTTGAGTTAATGAAATCGGTGCAAGTTGTATACTGATAAATTGATCGTTTAAAGGCAAATTGGATGGTTCCATCCATCCAATTGGATACCCGGAGAGTATTAGGGACCATGGTAAACAATTAAGCAATTTTTATTTTCGGGCGAAAAAAGGTCAAAAAATTCCACAATTGAAGGTTAATATCTACACTTTTTGAGAAATTTTGGAGGTTTCGGGACCCGGTGTTGAAAAGTCTTGAAATTCTAGTGGATATATCTCGGCGTCATATAATGTCGTTTGGAGCAATATATGATCATTATTTGTTGTCATAAATGTTCGTGGTAGGCTAGAGTTATCGGTGCAAGTTGTAAACCGGTAAATTGGTCATTTAAAGGCAAATTGGATGGTCCCACCCACAACCCACCCAATTGGACTCTTAGAGGGTATTAGGGACCATGGTAAACGTTACATCAATTTTTATTTTCGGACGAAAAAAAGTAAAAAAATTCCAAAATTGAAATCTAATCCACGATTTTTGAGAAATTTTGGAGGTTTCGGAGCTCGTTGACAAAAAGACTCGAGATTTTAGGGGACACATCTCGGGGTTATATAATGCCGTTTGGAATCATATATAATCATTATACTACATATGCTATAAATTTTCGTGGTAGGCTTGCAAAATAAAATCGGTGCAAGTTGTAAAGGCCGTTTAAAGTTAAATTCATGATAAATTTGACAAAAGAAATCTAAAAAGTTAAAAACACTTGTTAATTTTTCTTGGTTTTTTGTTTTTAAAAAAAAAAACTTAAAACCAAAAACGATCTCAAAAAAAAGAAGTCCTAAAAAATTTCTTTTAATATTACCACCAAAAAAAAAAAATAAAAAAAAATCTACAGTTTAAGTTGAATACTCGAGCTTGAATTGCGTTGAAAGACTTTAAAGCTAAAAATTCGAGTCCACAAAGCAGAGCAAGAGAAGCGAGAAAGTATAGAGAGAGAAAATAATGGAGCTTCCCAACACCCAGAGATACGGTGTTCCTCTCTACGGAGCTTCCTGGGTCCCATCCCACGCCATCAGATCCACCAATTCCGCCGACCCTAAATCCGACGACTCCGACGCCGATAAACCCGTCGACAATCCGTCGGAATTTCTCGTCCTCGCCGGCGGCGGCGGTGAAGGCCGTAGTGGTATTCCCAATGCTGTTCTCCTTTCCGAATTCGACTTCGCTGCTAATTCTCTGTCTCCTGAACCTGTAAGATTATCGCTATTTTCGAAAATTTTCTGAATCACGGTTTTCGAAATTTTGTTTGTGAATGCTTGGAATTGATCATGTTTTCATCTGGAGATTCTACAATTGTGTGATTGAATTGTGAATTTAGGTTAATTAGATGATTAATTGATTGAATTTATGGTTTAGAGGTTTTAGTGTGATGTAGAAGTGATTGATTTTGGTATTTTTTTTTGTGTGATTTAGGTTTTCAGAGTTGGAACTGCTAATGAGTTGCCTTACAGAATGGCTGTTCATCCTCGAGGCGACGGTCTTATTTGTTCCTTTCCAAATAGTTGCAGGTAATCTAATATCCGAGGCCTAATTTTGCTATTTAGAAGATTTATTTTGAATTATTTGATGTAAAGATCTTGAATTTGGATGAACTTTTGATCATTTGTTTGAAACAGTGGATCAATGAAGTTGTACATTAGACTCATTGTGAGCAATTTATGTTGGACAGTTTCAATTTGATTTAAAAAAAGTTTTGTATTTGCTATTTGATTATGTTGTTACCACATCATTTGTATATGAAATCAAATTTCTTTGAAGAAGTGAGGCAATCAAAACTTGGGAAGTATTATTTAACTTACATTTAGTCATAGCTGTGACCTTTGGTTTTCGAGATGACATTGGTCGTTTTCATATGAGTTGTACTCGCAGCTTATCCGTTTTTGTGTACATAAAGAATTGCACAGTGCTGTCTCTTTGCAACTATATGTAAAAGTGTGGATTAATCTTGTGTGTCAAACAGATAGCTAATCTAAACCTGCTTTGATTTCCATAGGTGGTTTGATTGGGAAATGACTAATGATAATGAAAATGGAAAACTGGGTTTAGTCTCATCCGACAAAGTGAGTACTAAGTTGGAAGATGTTGGCCAACAATTGGCTTTAACATTCAGTGAGGATGGCTCTTTACTTGCTGCTGGCGGTGAGGTAAATATGATTCTTTACATTTCTGCTCATGTTGAATAAATAATTGAGTAGTATGTACTCTGATTTTCTTTGCTTAAATTGGTAACTTCTTTGTTCATGTACGTAGTACTGTTTATGCTTCTTTATTAGCGAGCTCTCTTTATTCTTCATGAAAATATTCTGCTGTTCTTCTTCTCCTCACCTCCTCGGTTCCTTTAGTGTATTGCTAGTTAAAGAAAAGTTTCATGATTATTGAGTGTAAGGAGTCTCTCTTATCATTGCATTGGGATATGTAACCATTTTAAATCTGCAGAAAGAATCGATATTTTAACTTCATGGTTTTCGTATGTCAGAGTTCTTATGATACAAAATGATATGATTTTCCGATTTTTTTGCAGTACAGGATGGCAAAATAAGGGTCTTCAAGTGGCCTAGCTTGGAAGTTCTATTTATTGAGGAGAAAGCATATACTTCTGTGAAGGATCTACATTTCAGGTTTATATTCTTGCTGCTTTAATTATATATGGTCAAATCTTAGAACTATAAATCATGTACGTGAACTTTATATTTTGTTGCATTTCTATTTTGCAGTATAGATGGAAAGTATTTGGTCTCTATAGGAAGTGGTGGTCCTTGCAAGGTTTGGGATGTAACCTCATCAAAAGCCATAGCTTCTTTAGCCAAGGAGAATGTGAGAATTGTAACCCTTTTTATTATGTTTCAATTCTCTTTGTAAGTTGTAGTAGCACTTGTGTCTTATATATTCAACTATAAGACTGTTGATTCAGACCTGCATGTGGGCCTGTACCCTTTTTTTTTTTTTTTGAATAATGATGTCAAATTGTCAAGTACCCTCCCCCCCCCCCCTTTTTTTTTGGGAATAATGGTGTCAAGTAGCCTTTTTTTTTTTTTTTTTAGAATAATGGTGTCAAGTACCTCATATATGTTTCTCCTAGTTTATAATTTAGGTTTTCAATATGGTTCTAGCCCTTTAACCTGCATTTGTTTCTGACTTGGTAATGTTTGGTGCAGGACGAAATTTTTAGGTTTTGTAGATTTTCTCAAAGTAGTGAAAGGGACCAGGTTCTTTACACACTTGCTATGCGAGGTAATGTTTATTTATTTATTTATTTTACTTTTTTTTTTGCCATTTACCACTGTACTCTTGTGATCTTCCAGAAGAGATATCTTTTAATGGTTAGCAGACTTTTCTTTTAAAATGTAGGTAAAGGTGGGAGTATTATATCCTGGAACACCAAATCCTGGAAAAGAATAACTTCAAAGCATATTGTCCGGGATGCAGTTACAGCATTTAATGTCTCAGTTGATGGAAAGCTCCTTGCCATGTAATTGTTAAATTTTTGTTTCATTTTTCTTCCTCCCCAACCTCCCCTATTATTTCCCTTCCCTGTAGACTCACTGAGCTTTTGCACTATTGATCAGTTTCTCTGTGTTATAATTTGGAATACATATTTGTAGAATGTGTAGGGCTAGTCGTTTGTGAAGACCCCTGTGTCTGATTAATTAATTTGAGAACTTTTGGATCCATTCTCTTCTTAATATAACATCTGCTGTCATTATGAAATTAAAACTCCTCTAAGGAGTCAAAAACTGTTCTGCCTTTGTGTTCTTGCTTTTTTTTTTTTTTTTTTTTGTGTGTGTGTGTGTGTATATATCAGCTGTCCAAAAATGAGATTACTACTGAAATATTTGGATCAACCTTTTTTTGAAGCACGGAATTCAATACAGTAATTTGTTATGTGGTTATGCACTTGTGCTCTTTTGAATGAAGCTAGGTTGGTGTACTGGTAGAGGGCAAGTTGGGAAATTTTGGGCTGGTTGAAGGTCCTACAACATATGCTTGTATAATTGTATGTGTATATATTGTATGTTTGCTTAAGACTTTCCATTTGATGTATACTTGTAGTGGGACCAATGAAGGGGACCTTCTGGTTATAAATTTGTCAAAGATGCAAGTCCAGATGAATGTAAAGAAAGCACACTTGGGTCTGGTAACTGCTTTGACATTCTCACATGATTCAAGGTTAGGAACCATTTGCCTTTCATCCTATTTAAATCATCTGTTTTTACGAGTTTAGAGTTAATATTGAAGTTATTGCTCTATGTCCAGGGCTTTGGGTTCTGCTTCCATGGATTCAAGTGTCAGAGTGACACTGGTTCAAGACAAAAGCACCAATGGTTTGTCCTTACTCTGATTCAAAGCTTAAATTACACCTCTATTCATCAAAAGTGCATTGAAATTTTTCCTTCATCAAAATCACTCTAATATGTTCGAGCCCTGAACTTTATTTTGGTGGATGCAGGTTTCAACTATTGGATCATCATCTTCATTTTACTAGCTATTGCCATGTACTACTTGATGAGTCAAGGATTGATTCCAGGATACGTAACCAAGTCTGACTAATGGAATTTTTTGACAAGTCGAAAAAGTTTCACAATGATGCATCATGGTTGAGATACATTGAAGCCTCACTTTCATGTAGAACATGTCTAGAATTCATCCAAGATTGCTTTGTACGAACTGCTTTATACGTTGTTTAAGAATTCTGAAGGATGGAAGCGTGGCACAGACAAACCTCGATAATGTATTTATATTATTCTATTAGACAATTGAATTTTTGTGACAGAAAAAACATAATAAGTAAAACATGATATGTCCTTATTCCTAAACAAGTTTACATATAATTTTTTATTTTATTTATTTTTTTGACAAGTACATACAAGTTTTCATATAGCTGATGAGAGTCAAGGGTGAATATATATGCATACTCTATTTATGTTCCAATCAAAATTATAAACTTGGCATATGAATTAATCCTTCAGTCTTAGAGTATTCTTTTCTTTAATTGTTTTGGTGCAATTTCGAGTATAATACTAATATAACCCCCCAAAAAAAAGTTCCGTTTTTATACAGGTTGTGACAAATGATATTTATGATTTTTTTTCCCCTCATGAAATGTATGGTTTTGCCGATTAAACCTAAAATAAACATAAACTGGGCAAGAGAGTGGAAATTGAACCCTTATATAGCCTTTGGTATTATATACAAAAACATACTGGGGACATTTTACAAGTATAATCATGGTGTGTAAATGATTTAAGAATATATCGCGGTAATCATGTTATTACACACATCGTGTAGGAGTGTGTTAGTTCTTACATTATAGAACAAGCATTTGGATCTTCATCGCTAAACCACTGAGGAGCATAGACGTAGTGAATAATGTAAGGAGTATTACTTGCTTTAAGCTTCTCTTGCACATCTTTCACTTCTTCAACGTCAATGACTTTCTTTGTGGTTTTCGTTTCCTCTACCTTCTTGATCTCTTCTTTCTTCTCTTCCTTCTTTATTTCCTTGGCAGTTACGAGTTCTGCATGTTTGTGGAATTTACTTCGTATGTGTTTAACCAACTTCTCACTTTCAATTGTACCCTCAACAGCAAGAGTCTGAGCTTTCATATCAGATTTAACATTATAGATCCCTGTTAATAACACAGGAAAAGATAAATAAAACTATACAGGATTACAAGGGACGTTTATATTGTTTTCATCCAAAAATAGTCGGCGTTATACCTTTATGTCTTAATAGCTTCCTACGAAGATCAGCCTCGCACTGCTCACAATGCAGATGTACCCTCACGGTATGGGTGAATACAGCCACCTGCAAAATCCACAAGGAGGGAGTTCTTAGTATAGAATATGAAGTTTCTACTTAATTAGGGCTACTTTAGATATGCCTACAAATTACTTACTTCTTTGGTCTCCTTGACAACTTTCTCTACCACAACTGTGTGTTTGTAGTTTTCTTCAACTTTTAGTACCTCCACCTTCCTCTTGCTCAACCTCTCTAGTTTCTGATGGATCTTCTTCGAATCGAATGCTCCCACAACCTTTACTTCACTCTTCTCGAAGTTCACATCCACAGCACGAACTCCTGCATGTCCAATACATGGCAATTGGTTTAGAAAAAGAGCATTGAATGATACATCACGGCATTTAATTACTAAAAATGCAAAGGAAAATGGCACAGGCTGTTGTGGTGGAATTTGTGATGCAGGTTGCAATATTTGGAATGTGAGGACTAAGTTTAAAATTTTGACCTCGTTAGTTTTGAAGACTACATAATATTGTAATATTGGCCTTGGTGCTTCATTGATCTCAGCATGGTAAAGCCGTAAGGGCAGGCCAAGCCAAAAGAAGTCTGGACCGTTTGGCCGATACCTCATGGCAAAGGAGGTGCACCCAAACCTGGTAAATCAGGCTGGCCCGTACCAGATGGCTTAACCAATCGGGTTGGCAAACAGGCTGTCGAATTCTAATCATGCTAGACCATATGGCATCAGTTCTACAAATCTACATTGCTTTTATTTGATAAACAACACTACTTTGGATATCTATTCTTAGTTTCTTACCTTTATATCACAAGGGAACAGCAACATGTACCTTGGATTTTCAAAAGGGGGCTCCTGATCTTATGAGCACATTCAGGACAATGCAGATTAAGTTTATAGAAGGCTGCAGAGACACCTCCTTTCGCCATTTACGTTTGCTCTGCACAGAACAAGCCCTGGCGATTTATGATAATCAAGGATAATTAGTAAATGAAAAGACAGTGATCCTATGTATAGATAACAATTACAGGAGAAGACTATTCCTGATTTTGTTGCCTCCTTTGTAGACAGATACTCAAAATGTTAGCAATGTTTGGGAAAACGGTAGGTGGGAATTTGCTGTGGGTAGCTCACTTGCTTCTGGAAACTTAAACTTACAGCAACAATGGCTTCTGTAAACAAAATTAGTACCAGAACATTCTTACAAACCCAAAAATTTGTTTTACACCATACATTAACACACTTGGTCAAAATATTAACCACTTTAAATTTGTCAAAGTGGCTAACTGTGAGAATCAGAAGTAGTTGGTTGTGGGCAACTTACATTTGAATTTCCTGTCACTAGGGTCTTTAAGAGATTAATTAATGTGGTGAGCTAAACAAAAGGTAGAGGCAACCATATGGTTTAGTCAACACGGGCCGACCAGGTCAATGACCACGAACCAATATGACAGTCCGTCCACGGAATGATCATAAGCTAAATCGAGATCAAGAACAAAGCATCTCAACACTTGAGAAAAATCGCAAACAAGTACACAGCAAGGCTAATGAACGAATACATCTGTGCTTAGTTTTTGCGTACACTTCAGCTTGTTCAGAAAATTGTGTTACACAAAATTTTAATTTTTAAATAAATTCACCAAAAAAAATGTAAGGAAAAAGAACATACTTTTCCTTGGAATTGTATAACATAGTCAACATTTATTACATTGGAAAAACATTGACGTTCTCAAGTCCAACCAATAATTGCAACAAAGAATACACCAAATAAATTGAAAATGATATGTCAACAGTAGCAGTAACAAACCTACCAACAAACCACCTCGCTTATGCTATTGCAACTATCAACCCAATGACAGCATAATTTATGAGTGATCCATTTTGGTAACTCGACCTGCTACAACTTAACTTTCTGATAAAAGAGCCCCATCCATTTACAAAGATAGAGATGATCAATGAAGGACCACATGTTAGAGAATGAGTCTTGTAAAACCAGGGAAACAGTCACGTCAAAGCCGACACACCTACTACCAGAAAGAGCAAAGTCATCCCTTGATCTTAAACATAATGTCACATAAGTAACTGTTCAATATGCAAATAGACAATGAGAAAATCAAGCATAGAACTAGTCTTGGACGGACAAAAAAATACGAGCCAACCATAACCTTTCGAACAATTGAAGTACAATGTGGTGGCATACTCTGAGCTTCTGAAGAAAAGCATGGCAGATATAAATAGAGCTAAACAGAAAGGATGTATCATAATATATTGAATGAACAGATCAATGCATTGGAAGCTGATCAAGTGATAAGTGCTCTAAAAATCCTGACTAGTAGAATTGAACACAGTTCAGACTCCAGCTGCCCAGCATGTCCAGCTTGATCAGGCACACATAAACGATACAGACCCATATCTAAATATAGTAAATATTCGATATGTCCATCTTCCAGATGTAAAAATAAAGGGATGTGGTAGCACGTCCTTCTTTTTGTTACAGAACTCAGAAATCAAAATCACCATAAAAAGAACATGAGTCAATCTTAGGGCATGTTACAGTGTAAGCAGTCGTGTTTGGAACAACAGCATGAAACATCAAGAAACTTAATTAAGCATATGCTCACACTCATTTAGTTAATTTGTGTGTATGAAGTAACTTGCAAGTGGCAATAGGGTTTCCAAGGGCCTGTAACAGAAATAATTTTCACCTAATGGAGTTTCTGATGCATCGCATGTCTAGAAGGAACACAAAAAATTGATGATAACATGAAGACAAACTTCCAAACCTGAACATACACATGGAGAAGATAAAACACATTTGACTAATTGACTATGAACATCTATCCAATTACCTCAGAAACATCAAATCCAAACCTTTGATATTGTCATAATGAATATTCAGTGGGGTGACAACAGACAAGAGACAGTAACACCGCAGAAGAGGGAAGTGAAATGGAGATAGAAATTCTTAGGCCAAATGTAACTTTTTTTATTGCTTGAAAAATCAGCTATAGAGTGGAAAGAATTACAGAGAGGCGTATCGTATTTTCCCATTGTATACCAATTTCTAAGAACAATTGATCTATAAATGAATTAAAGAATCAATAACTTTGAAGCTTCTCAAAGTTGTGCTCAAATACCCTATCCATATGAGGCTTGCAGGAAAACTTGCCCGAAAAAAGCCAAAAAAGAAAGCCAAAACTTCCCACGGGAGAAAAATGAGAGACTAATGCCACAGGCAGCTTTGACTTCTGCATAACTGGGATTTCCTGAAAGACAGTGTAGCTATCTGTATCAGTTGTAATCTTAAAATCCTTAGCATTAAATAGGAATAAAAAAAAATAATGAACCCTAATTACATTTTCATACTCACTTTCTTCCTGTTAATACCAAAAGCAGAACAATGGCAGCAATTTGACAATGATATCCTAATTATCAACTTCATTCTTGGACTGACAGAGGGTTTTCTGGAATCACTTTACACCCTCTGAAGTTACTCCTGTCTATATACTTCCCTCATGCTGCAATAGAGAAAAGCAGTTTTTATAAAAAGTCTTATAGGGACTTGGACGTTTTTCAAAACGAAAGCATTGACACTCCACAACAGATAAGTGTAATGCTCCAATCAATTTACACAGCACTAATTAAAGGTTCATTAAACAAAAGACTAAACATAGATTCAAAGAAGCAGTCATTCATAATAAACAGCTCCGGATAAAGAAAATTGACAACTAGCATTAGTAGCATATGAAGACAAATCTTACTGAAAACCTAGAAAACAGATCATGCTATCCAGAAAAAACAAGAGACATCATTGATGTTCACTTAGGTGGCTAAGAGCCTAAGATGGCTGGACTAGTGTAAGTCTGCAACAATATGGGGTTACAATGATTTATAAGTATCTTACAAAGTGGTTTCTTATACCTCCTCTGAGTCTTCTTCAAAGATTTTATCCAAGCCAAGTTTTTGAAGTCTCTAACATGCATCATTTAACCTATGTTTTCTCTCAGACTTGGACTTCTCTAGTAAGTGCTGCAACTTTCCACTCCAGTTTTCTACATAGCTTCTAGGTCAACATTTCTGATTACATCCCTGAAAATCAAACTAGGGCAATGTCTTTGAAACACAAGGAGCAATTTAACCTATTTGAAGGTGGTCAATTTTTAACCAAAAAAAATAAAAAAAACACTCAAGTGTCCCTTTGTACATTAATATGCAACTAATTCCACAACCTAACAAAGAAATCTTAATAAGTCACCTGATTACAGATGGTTTAATCAATCCTTGATTACTTATCAACCAAATCACCCATAGGAGACCAAAGTAAGAACGGCATTAGCAATACCTTTTGTCACTTTTTATTTCAAAAATCACTCATAAATTTTGCCAGTGTATTAAAAGAGTCTAAGAGCATAGAAAATGCACCCCAGCCACACTGAAAACCCAATTTCACAAGAAAGAAGCCACTTTCTAGTGCAAAAATAAGCAGCAACTTTCCTCTTAGCCAGCAAAACATAAAAAAAGTCATTACACAAGAATTCATCTTAGGACCCGTAATCACATGTGTAAATATACAATAAAGATGAAAGAATTTCACAATATGCATTACATGGACTGTTTTATCCTATTTGAAAAGAGGAAAGCTAGCAAATTATGTGTATGTCATGCAATCATTTATAAATGCAGCAAAAAAGAAAGGGAGAAAAATTTGTTAATTAAAAGAAAAGGAGCAACTTACCACAATTGGGAGGCAACATTTACAGTTAGTTCATCAAAAGCTATAGGACACGAAAGAACATAATTTTATTGTCCCTTGGATGCCTGACCCATACAATGTCTCATGCTGTTCAAATTCTCAATACCAAAGATAGTAAATAACACCAACCAGCCAATGTAGCTTAGGAAGATGATATGATATGAGCACTTCAACCCGTCAAATGTCAACTTCTTGCTAATATGGCTTTAAAAACATCCAACTGCCTCGCAGGAAAAGGAGGATGTCTTCTTTGAGCCAAATAAAATATCATTGCAGCCTTATCTACTTCTCCAATACTCTTTAAACCCTTAAGTAATGTACAAATGGTGTCTACATTCAGAGTCCAGTTTTTCTTCATGCATTCTTTGCACATAAAATATGCACAATTAAAATCCCCTGCCATGCATAAGTAATGTACCATAGTCTGATAAATTTTAGCATTAGCTTTATAACCCCGACCATGTAAGGCCGAGAAAATCCTTTTGGCCATATCATAAAACCCAGCCCGACAAAACCCTTTGATTACCAAATTATAAGTAACTTCATCTGGTTGCATCTCTAGGTTTTCCATCAGGCCCAGCAAGTCATTTGCTTCCCATGCTCGCCCTCTACTTACTAAAAATTGGATTCTAGCATTAAATGTAGCAATGTTAGGATAACATCCCTTATAAACCATGAGATTCCACAGTCCATTTCCAATCTCCCAACGACCATACTTGTAGAAAGCTGATATAAGAGTCGTATACGAAACAACATCAGGCTTTATCCCTGCCTTTTCCATCTCTACCATCACTAAATAAGCCTTATCCAATATTCCCATCCCACAAAAAGCATTAATCACAATATTAACTGAAATCACATCAAGCTGAACCCCAAACTCCCAAGGTACCTTCATAAGGAACGAATTAATAGCCTCCAAATCACAGGTCTGACTCAATACTTTCAGGGCAGCATTGACAGAATTTACAGTCCTTTTAGAACCAAACAAATGCATATTATAGAACGTATCGACGGCTTGTTTAACCATACCCGCCCTTCCATACAACATTATAATCCTAACAATAAATCCCTCCCTCCTACCTTGAGGCAAGGACTTCTGATGCTCAAGCAAATGCTCAATGTAATCATATCTCTTAGCACCTGCCAACCTCGAAACCGTATCCTCGAAAGCATACTTGTTTTCAATAACAAGGCGATTGTGGGCATTATCTTTGAACAGTTTAAATAGCTTATCTGGGTCTCTCTCTTTCTTAAGCTTAATAAGAGCTGGTTCTTCCAACTTAGGTTTAATCCTTGAATTAGCATTAACACTAAAATTACTACCACTATTAATATCATGATTACTGCTAACACAACTACTTGAATTGCTAATTGTTGGCGTATCAACCGCGTTAAAGGATGAACAAGAAAGATTACGACCAACTACAGAAAACCGACGAATGGGTCGAAATGAAAGACAAAATCTTTGAATCATTGCTAATATAAGCTCTTGAATTCAAAATCCAAAAAGGGTTATTCACAATCTTGTTAGTTCATGCTAATTTGGGGAAAATGGGGATCAAATTTTTCGATTGAAACTTGAAAATTGGCAGAAATTATAAGTAAAAAATCATGTATTTAATGGGATTAACATAGATTATTGGGAGCATACCTTGAAACCCAAATTTGGAGTGAATGTATTTCTGAAGAAGGTAGTGGAGGTGGGGTTGTTAATGGCGGCGGTGGGCCATTATCGGGGAAGACTGAGACGTGGGGGGTTTTGGGAGCGGAAGAACGCTCGATTAGGGAGGTGGATGACGTTGTTTTGGTTTAAACCCCTAAAAATTGAATCAAGACAATCCAACTATCAACTTTGTTCCCCTACCCAAGCAAGAGGAGAAGAAATTAAATGGGCTTGATGCCGAATACACTCATTGTATGCAAGTTTTTTAAACGATAGTATAAATTGAGAATTTAAGGTCATATATGTATTACGTTTGGGTTTAAAATTTGGATTTGTTTAGTAAGTGAAATGATATCATGAAGTCATAAGACGCACGACATCTATGTCAAAAGAAGTTTGTTAGTGATGAATGGAAAATAAGAAGGCAAAAACCAATCATTGGATGATTATGAGCAACAAGTTCGTGTTTGTGTTTGGCAAGGATATGTTATTCTTGCCAATTTGTTCATGTCACTTTAGTATTCAGATTTCAAAACCTTTTGGAAATTAACTTGCTCAAGTCAGTTTTGAGTTTTTAACGTGCCCGTAACGACCCTAATTGACATGCATACTTTGTGAATCCTTCAATTTATTAATGCTTGTTATAAGACTTATAGGTTATAATCTAATATAAATATCCCTTTGTAGCCAATTTTAGGCAATCTCAACAAATTCAAACCCGTTTTCTACTATTATTGGGTTTCAAGGAGAGAGTGTTTGAGAGAGCATTCCACAAAATAAGACGCTTGTAAATCATCATCCATCTGCATACAGTTGTTGGTATTTTTTTTCCCATAACCTGGTTTCTCACAAAACCTCGCGGTATACTTCGTGTGTCATTTACTATTTCATCTTCTAGTTAGCTTACTTACTCAGTTCTGTTTTGTTGTTGTTGTCCTTGTTGATAATTGTGGGCAATCACAGAGCATTACCATGGCCTTTGATGTTTCTGACCGTAAGCCAGGAGCTTTTTATTTCTATTTTTATTTTATTTCCCAAAACGTTGCTATTTGTTGTTGTAAATTTCTGAAACATGGAGTTTTTGTTGTATAGTTGTATCCTCTTGGCACAAAGACAAGTTGCTCAATCCTTCACCAGATGAGGATTGTTGAGAATCCTCTTCCTCTTGAGGTTCCTCTACATTACCCAACATCAAAGAGGACTACTCCAAATCAGCAAAAACCCTATACAAGATCCTCTTTGATATTTGTGCTAGCTCTTAGCTATAACATGCAATTACTAATGATCCACTTTGTCAAATATACTCTAGTAGAGCAAGGTACAAGTATTTTATATTTTTGAGACATATTTAAGGCCCCTTCAGTTTTTGGGTCCCTTGTAGGCACAGAGGTTGCACTTACCAATGAGTCACATTGTCAAATGTACTCAACTAGTTCAAGGTGCAAGTGCAACATATATACAAGTACTTTATATTCTTGAGACATATTTGAGGCCCCTTTAGTTTTTGGGCCCCTTGTAGGCGCAGAGGTTGCACTTACCAATGAGTCACATTGTCAAATGTACTCAACTACTCAACTAGTTCAAGGTGCAAGTGCAACATATATACAAGTAGAGCTGTCAAAAGTTTTCTAGACCCGAAATACCGACTCAAACCTGATTATTAACCAACCCATCTGAACCCGAAAAAATGGTGACCCAAACCCGACCTGACCCGACCTTGAACCAACCCTAGACTCAAGATGACCCGAGTATGCGAGACCCGAAACTGAACATGAACTGACCTGGAGATGACCTAACCCGAATGTAACCCGTATATTATTGACCTAAACAGAACCCGACTTGAACCGAAATTAACCCAAACCCGTTTTAACTCGTCAAAACCCGAATTTAACCCGACTTGTTACTAACCTGACCTGAATTCAACCCGACCCGACCCATTCCTAACCCGACCCGAATTTAACCCAACCTGTTACAAACCCGACCCAAAATCAACTCGACTTGTTATTGACCTGACCCAAATTCAACCCGACTTGTTATTGACTCGACCCGAAGTTTACCAGACCTATTACTAACCCGACCCAAAAAATCAACCCAATTTGTACTAACCCGACTCGAAATCAACACGACTTGTTATTGATCCGACCTAAATTGTTCCTGACCTGATTTCAAATCATCTTAAATGCAATTTAGACCACCTTATTATTGTTGATCAAAGCATTTTGTCTAGGGAGACCAAGTCGGTCCAGGCCAACAAAAGAAAGGAGCATCATCGTCAAATTTAAGAGTTAAATATAGATACATTTGTTGTATGGTAAAAGAAAATCATTATCTTCCTAAATTATAAATATAGCTCCCTAGTATATTACCATATATATTATAATCAAAGGAAATAATTAGCTTGATAAAAATGATAATTAACTAATTATAGTTAGTTAAACCCGAATATGACCTAACTTGGAAATGACCCGACCTGAGTGTAGCCTGCAAATTATTGACTTGAACATAACCCGACTTGACTCCGAGTATGACCCGACTTGGAAATGACCCAACCTAATTATAACCCGCAAATTTTTGACTTAAACCGAACCCGACTTGAAACCAAGAATGACCCGACCTGATTATAACCCAAAAATTATTGACTTGAATCGAACCCGACTCAAACCTGAGAATGACCCGACCTGATTCTAACCCGCAAATTATTGACATGAACCGAACTCGACTCGAACCCGAGAATCACCCTAACCCGTGAAAACCCGAATTAAACCCGACTTATTGTTCACCCGACCCGAATGTAACCCAACCTGTTATTAACCCGACATAAACCCGACCCAAACCTGATAAGAAATATAACCCGACGTGACCCGACTCAAGCATGACCCAACCAAAACCCGACCTGCATAGGTTATGGAATTAATCCAAAATGACCTAACCCAAGTTGACCCGACCTACTCTTACCGACCCAAACCCGACCCGTTTACCCAAATTGACAAACATACCCAATACCTCCAAAATTTCTCAAAAAGCGTGGATATTTGCCTTCAATTTTGGAATTTTTTGAATTTTTTTCACCCGGAAATAAAAATTGCCAAAATGTTTACCATGGTCCCTAATACCCTCTGGGATCCAATTGGCTGGGTGGAACCATCCAATTTGCCTTTAAACGACCAATTTACCAGTTTACAACTTGCACCGATTTCATCAACTCAAGCTTACCACGAACATTTATGACAACATATAATAATCATATATGGATCCAAACGGCATTATATGACCTCGAGATGTATCCCCTAAAATCTCAATGCTTTTCGACTCCAGGCCCCGAAACATTCGAAATTTCTCAAAAAGCGTGGATATTAGCCTTCAATTTTGGAATTTTTTGACTTTTTTTTGCCCGGATATAAAAATTATCGAAATGTTTACCATGGTCCCAAATACCCTCCGGGAGTCCAATTGGGTGGGTGGAACCATCCAATTTGCCTTTAAACGACCAATTTACCAGTTTACAACTTACACTGATTTCATTAATTCAAGCCTACCACGAACATTTATGACAACAAATAATGATCATATATGGTTCCAAACGACATTATATGACCCCGAGATGTATTCCTTAGAATTTCAAGACTTTTCGACACCTAGTCCCGAATCCTTCAAAATTTCGCAAAATGCGTGTATTAGTCTTCAATTTTGGAATTTTTTGCCTTTTTTCGCTCAAAAATTAAAATTTTCAAAATGTTTACCATGGTCCCTAATATTCTCCGGGAGTCGAATTGGCCGGGTGGAACCATCCAATTCGCCTTTAAACGACCAATTTACCGGTTTACAAGTTGCAAATTTCATTAACTCAAACCTACCACGAACATTTATGACAACATATAATGATCATATATGGTTCCAAACGACATTATATGACCCCGAGATGTATCTCCTAAAATCTCAAGGATTTTTGAAACCGGGCCTCAAAACCTTCAAAAAAATTTCAAAAAGCGTTGATATTAGCCTTAAATTTTGGAATTTTTGACTTTTTTTCGCCTGTAAATAAAAATTTCCAAAATGTTTACCATGGTCCCTAATAAAATACGGGAGTCCAATTTGGTGGGTGGAACCATCCAATTTGCCTTTAAATGGCGAATTTATCGGTTTACAACTTGCACCAATTTCATTAACTCAAGCCTACCACGAACATTTATGACAACATATAATGATTATATATGGTTCCAAACGACATTATATGACCTCGAGATTTATCCCCTAAAATCTCAAAGTCTTTCGACAACGGGCCCCGAAACCTCAAAAATTTCACCAAAAACGTGGATATTAGCCTTCAATTTTGGATTTTTTTAGACTTTTTTTCGCGTGAAAATAATAATTGCCGAAATGTTTACCATGATTCATAATACCCTCCGATAGTCCAATTAGGTGGATGGAACCATTCAATTTGCATTTAAATGGCCAATTTATAGGTTTACAACTTGCACTTTTTTTTATTAACTCAAGCTTACCACGAACATTTAAGACAACATATAATGGTCATTTATGGTTTCAAACGTCATTATATGACCCCGAGATGTATCTAATAAAATCTCATTTTTTTTCGACACCTGGCCCCGCAACCTTCGAAATTTCTCAAAAAGCGTGGATATTAACCTTCAATTTAGGAATTTTTTGATTTTTTTTTTTGCGCTAAAATAAAAATTGCCGAAATGTTTACCATGGTCTCTAATACCCTCTAGGGGTCAAATTGGGTGGGTGGAAACATCTAATTTGTCTTCAAATAACCAATTTACCGGTTTACAACTTGCACCAATTTCATTAACTCAAGCCTACCACGAACATTCTGTCACAAAAAAAAAAAGCCTGCCACGAACATTTATGACAACAGTACATATAATGATCATATACGGTTGCAAACAACATTATATGACCCCGAGATGTATCCCCTAATTCTTAAGGCTTCGACACCGGGCCCCGAAACCTCCAAAATTTCTCAAAAAGTGTGGATATTAGCCTTGAATTTTGGAATTTTTAGACCTTTTTTCACCCAAAAATAATAATTTCTGAAATGTTTACCATGATTCCTAATACCCTTCAAGAGTCCAATTGGGTGGGTGGAACCATGCATCCAATTTGCCTTTAAACGGCTAATTTAATTACCGGTTTACAACTTGCACGAATTTCATTAACTCAAGCCTACTACTACAAACATTTATGACAACATATAATGATCATGTATGGATCCAAACGGCATTATATGACCCCGAGATGTATCCCCTAAAATATTAATACTTTTCTACACCGCGCTCCGAAACCTCCAAAATTTCTAAAAAAGCGTGAAGCCTTTAATTTTGATTTTTTTTTTCGCCCGAAAATAAAAATTGTCAAAATGCTTATCATGGTCCCTAATACCTTCCGGGAGTCTAATTGGGTTGGGGGAACCATCCAATTTGCCTTTAAACTACCAATTTACCGGTTTATAACTTGCACTGATTTCATTAATTCAAGCCTACCACGATTATTTATGACAACAAAATAATGATCATATATGGTTCCAAACGACATTATATGACTCCGAGATGTATCCCATAGAATTTCAAGAATTTTCGACACCGGATCCCGAAACCTCCAAAATTTCTCAAAAAACGTGGATATTAGCCTTTAATTTTGGAATGTTTTGACTTTTTTCGCCCGGAAATACAAATTGCCGAAATGTTTACCATGGTCACTAATACCCTCTGGGAGTCTAATTGGGTGTGTGGAATCATTCAATTTGCTTTTAAACGGCCAATTTATCGGTTTACAACTTGCATCGATTTACCAGTTTGCAACGACCAATTTAATTAACTTGCATCGAACCCGACTTGAATCAAAAGTGACCAAAACTCATTTTAACCCGTCAAAACCCAAATTTAACCCGACTTGTTACTAACCTGACCTAAATTCAACCCGACCCGTTCCTAATCCGACCCGAATTTAACCCAACCTGTTACAAACCCGACTCGAAATCAACTCGACTTGTTATTGACTTGACCCAAATTCAACCCGACTTGTTATTGACTCGAACCGAATTTTACCATACCTATTATTTACCTAACCCAAAAATTGAACTCGAAATTAACACAACTTGTTATTGACCCGACCTAAATTCAACCGAAATTGTTCTTGACTCGATTTCAAATCACCTTAAATGCAATTTAGACCACCTTATTATTGTTGATCAAAGCATTTTGTCTAGGGAGACCAAGTCGGTCCAGGCCAGTAAAAGAAAGGAGCATCATCCTCAAATTTAAGCTAAGAGTTAAATATAGTATATATTTGTTGTATGGTCAAGGGAGATAGATAATTATCTTCCTAAATTATAGACTATAATTCCCTAGTATATTGCCATATATATTATAGTCAAAGGAAATAATTAGCTTGATAAAAATGATAGTTATCTATTTATAGTTAGTTGAACCCGAATATGACCCGACTTGGAAATGATCCGATCTGATTGTAACCTGCAAATTATTGACTTGAACATAACCCAACTTGAATCTGAGAATGATCCGACTTGGAAATGACCCAATCTGATTATAACCCGCAAATTATTGACTTGAATCGAACTCGACTTGAACCCGAGAATGACCCGACCTGATTATAATCCGCAAATTATTGACTTGAACCGAACCCGACTCAAACCCGAGAATGACCCGACCTGATTCTAACCCGTAAATTATTGACTCGGACCTAACCCGACTTGAACCCGAGAAGTACCTTAACCCGTTTTAAACCGACCTATTGTTCAGCCAACCCGAATGTAACCCGACCTATTATTAACCCGACCCAAACCCGATAAGAAGTATGACCCGACGTGACTCGACTCAAGCATGACCCAACCCAATTATGGAATTAATATGAATTGACCCGACCTGAGTTGACTCGACCCACTTTTACCCGACTCAAACGACCCGTTTACTCGAATTGACAGCTCTATATACAAGTATTTTATATTCTTGAGACATATTTGAGGCCCCTTTAGTTTTTGGGCCCCTTATAGGTGCAGAGGTTGCACTGATTAAAAGCCTCTTTCTCTTTATTATTTTCTTTTTATTATGTAAGCAATAAGTGCTAGAAATTAAAGAGGTTTTGTTTTTAGGGACGAAGGGAGTAGTTATGAAACATTATATTCTAATTCTCACTAATATGTATTGCTCATTGTTCAATGTAGATTTTCCTAGCAATCTCCTTGATTAACAAATAAATCTTGCACATCAATTGACATGTTTGTGATTAAATTAAAACACAATTTACATAATTGAATAAACAATCTACTTATCTTATAATTCCTTCTATTTTTTTTACAGAAAAAAGTAGATTGTATATTTGAATAGATCAACCAAAAGTTATCTCCAAAATTTCAATATAGTAACAAAGACTAGAAATCAAAATGTAAAATATTTCAACATTTCACCTATCAGATACAAAATTCAAAATCATTATATATCTATACCATATTATTGTTTATGACAAAGTTTTTGGTGTACTTAATTATCATGACTAAGTATACACGTACGTGGGATTATATTAATGGTGTTGTTCATGTTGGTTAGTTATATGCTTAGACATCTCCTTTTCAGCTAATTCATCTGCCTTGGCAACATGCAAATCCATGGCTGCTTCAGCTTCTTTTGCCTTCCTCACCTCTTTTGCAATATCCTTTCTTGTTTGTGCTATCTCTATCTCATCCTGCATTATCAAATCTCTAAAGTTTTAATAAAAACGACAAATAATGATACTAAAATCTAATTAGGGTTCCAAATTAAAAGCCATTTAACAATCTTAGACCATTTATGTCCGATATTTTTATGCCTATTGCACACGTACCGTTATTTTAATTTATCATAGAGGGAATCATCACATAAGCTTTCTATGTCATCATGCATATACACATCAAACTAATCTAAAAGAAAAGGTTAATTTGTCAATTTCCGTACATATAATTGTAACAATACATTGAATTTTTTTATTTTTTTTTTCTATTTTACGGGAAACAAGGACGTATATGTTAACATCTCGTAATTTATTAAAGGTAGGACTAGAATTAAAATTATTTCGTCAACTATGATTTGTAAATTGCAACTATAATACCATACTAGCAATGTTATGAGAATTTAAAACTCTTATATACTACGTACTTTGTATTATTAATTAAAGTATAGCGAAAATTTTCATACCTTTTCCTCTTCCTTGGCTTCAGCTTTTGCTTTGCGCATGGAACTTATATCTTGAATTTTCTCTTTTACGGCTTGCATTTTATGCTAATTTTTATTAAGTAGCTTAATTTGTCAATTATAATTTATGAACAAAGTAACGTACTTTAAAATCAAATTTTGTGTTAATAGGGAAGGTAACCACGCTTTCTTATATATAGGAGCTTTTAAATTAAAAAGTTATAATTATAACTGTTAACATGCTAATAATGCACTGGTTATTAAACTTGCAATTCTAATTGAATGCATGTAATATGGAACTTTAATGGATAACATCAAATTATGCATTTCATCTAATTTATAATCAATAAATCAATTATACGGAGTAATTGATTTATAAATTATAGCAACTCGCTATTCTAATTTGCAATTTATAATTTTCGGCCTGATAATAATTTTTTAAAATTGAATTTTTTAACTACTCTCGCCCTAAATTTTCCTATGATCACTTTATTTACAATTTACAACACATATAACTACGTACCCTCTCCTCACTCATCTGATTTGAGATTTTGTATAATCAAACACCCCAAACCTAATTTGAAATTTCGTAATTTTTTTTTTTCACCTACTGAAGAATATTGGTTATAGAGAGTAAGGTAAAAGAGTGAGAGTTGGAGTCAAAAATACAATTCAATCATTAAAAGGAAATTACAAGAAATAATTTTTGATTAGGGGATTTTTCCCCACCAATCACCATCTGACAAGTGGACCAATCAGGTTCTGCCATGTGTCCGTCACATGGGCCAATAGGAGCCTGCCACGTGTCAAGCAATGATCCGTCCACTATGGACCAATTACGACACGACACGTGTCCTTCCCATGACACCTGGGATAACCGGTCACCTAGGCCCAACTTCCGTGGGAAGCCCAATCAGCCCAAGGTTAACCTAAACCTAGATTGGCACGTTTCCCGAGGTTATAAATACCTCCCTTAATCCTCATTAAGGGAGAGGACGCAGATTACACACATTAAACTCTCTCACCTAGAGAGACTCAATCACTTTAATTTCCGCATTAATTACTCCTTAATCAAGTACTAACTTGACCGTCGGAGGCGGATCTCCAATCATCCGGAGCATCCGTTTGTTTTGCAGGTACAGGCGTCCGGTTCCAGTCTCGGAATTGTAACTCTCCCGCAGGACATCAGAAAACCCCGAAACATCTTGGCGCCGTCTGTGGGGAGAGTACTTCTGATATGGCATCCACGTTTGTACCGGCTCTTGAAGAGAGACGTCCCCTGGACGACCCTCTAGTTTAGTCGGACCACGATACTGAGAATGAATGTGAAGTTGAAGCTCACACAGCTTCAGACGGGACCCTAAGGGCCCGACGTACCCGTCATACTGAAAGGAGGGAGCGGGAACATCTTCTTACAGGAAGCGAGCCAGCAGGCGCACCGCCTGTTCGGCAGCAGCCGACTGATGGGTCTGCTCCCATCACAAGGAACGAACTCATGACCTTCATGAGGGACTTCAAGGGAGAAATTCAAGAGTTGATCAACAAGAAGCCGCCTGCTCTGGACAAGGAGCAGTCGGCTAAGAAACCCTCCACTTCACGGAAGAGGAAGCCAGTTCAAGGGCGAGAGGCGACCCCTCATCCTAAATCTAGGAAGTGGGAGCCACCTGCCCTTGATTTCACAAAATACCGTTTTCCTACTCCAGGAAATAGGAAACCTGTTCGTCATATTTAGGCGGATGGGTTGAGGAAAACATACACAGACGCTCGGCTACTGCTGGAGCAGAAGAAGAGTGACCGATTGTCAGAGTCGGCCTCTACTTCAAACTTCCAAGACAGTCTGCGAAATACCTCGATGAGGCATACTCAGTCGTATCATGAGAGTCAGTCAGGCGGCACCTCCCGCCAGTCCGGCTATCATAGCGACCAGGCGGTACCAAACTTACCGTTTGTACCGCAACAACAGTATTTTTTACAGCCACCTCCGTTTGGTGGACATGCAACAAAAAATGTCCAACCTATGGACTGGCAGCTACGGTTGCTTAGACTTGGTGAACAGCCGTCGGCCTTCTCCAAGGAAATTACTGAAGCCGCTCAGCCGACCAAAGTGAAAAATGTATTAGTAGGCGCCTATGACGGCACTACTAACCCAGAAGACCATCTGATGGCATTCACCAACCTGATGTACCTTCAAGGGTTGGATGATCCCACTTGGTGCAAGTGTTTCCCAGCGACTCTCAAAGGAATCGCACAACAATGGTTCGGCAACCTGCCGACTGGTTGTGTAAATAACTTCAAGACGCTTGCTTACTTATTCACCTCCAACTTCGCCATGAACATCCCTGCGAAGAAGACGACCCTTGATTTAGGAACAATTCAGCAGGGCGAGAAGGAGGGGCTTCGTTCTTACATCAGGCGGTTTAACCTGATGAGAATACAGATTCAAGGGTTACCGGATGAAGTAGCCTATACTGAATTTTTCAGAGGTCTCAAAGACGGGTCGACCTTCAAATTTGATTTGGTCCGAAAGAGGGTGACGACTCTTCAAGAGGCCTTAATTGAAGCGGAAGCTTATATACAGGCGACTGATCTTTGTAGTACGGTAAAACAGTCAGACGGGAGAAGGTCCGACAAAAGAGAAGGACAACAGAAACAGTCGTCAAACAAAGACGAGAAGAGAAAAGAGGTCTGGGCGGCTGATTCCTCTAAACAGTCGGCCCAGAAAAAGAAAAAAGAATTCAAACCATACTCCCCAAAGTATGCGTTTAACAAGGATAGCCAATTTATCCTAAAGGAAATCAAGGGACGGATCTCAATTGAGAAGCCGGTCCCCATGAAGGGTTTTACAAACAACCGGAACCATGAAAAATTCTGTGATTATCATGAAGATGTTGGTCATCACACCAATGAATGCATCAGTCTCATGCGGTATCTGGACCGCCTGGCTGAGCAAGGTGATCTTGACACTTATGTCAAGAAATCTACGGGGAACACTTCCTCGAAAAAGCAGTCGGCCAAAAAGAATCAACAGGCCGACAGCTCCGATACAGATGATGCAGTCGTCTACACCATTGCAGGCGGCTTCTCAGGAGGCGGCCCCACTATTAGGGGCAACAAAGACAATATCAGACGGTTAGATGTAAATTCCGTTCACCAAGAACGGCCCTCCAAATATTCATTTCCTGAGATTGTCATCACTGAAGAAGATCTAGGAGGGGTAAGAGGGCCGCATGACGACCCTATCGTTATTGAATGTAAAGTGGCCAACCAGAGAGTTGGCCGAATCCTCATAGATACCGAAATCTCCTCAGATCTCATCAGTAGAAAATGTCTGTCGAAACTAAAATATCAGACTGATTGCATACATCCGGCATCCCACCCTTTAGTAGGGTTTGGAGGAGGAGTCGTCCACCCAGTTGGACGAGTGGATTTACCCATCCGCCTGGGTGAAAAAGGGGAAGGACGACACATGGTAGTCCGGTTCCTGGTAGTAGAAGAACTCTCGGCCTACAACATGATTCTGGGACGACCAACCCTGAATAATTCCAAGGCTGTTATAATCCCATCTCTTATGTTGCTCAAGTTTGAGAGGGATAATGGAACAGTCGGGTCCCTAAGGGGAGATCAGAGGATGGCCCGAGAGTGCTATCTCTCGGATGTCAAGCCCACTGTTATGGCTACTATGTCGAGCGGTGGAAAAATAGACCTTGACAATGTCAAGTAGAGTGCGCCTGTTCAAGAAGCAGGCGGCAAGAAGAGAAAGGCATCCCAGACAGGGGCCGCAAGAAAAGACAGAAAATAGCAATCATTGGCAAAGGAGCGGTCGGATGAATTCCGCCCTCAGCCAGCTGGTGAGCATACGGACCTGATGTTAGATGACTCGCGTCCTGACAGAACAATCAAGGTTGGGACGACCGCTCTAAGGGACCTGGGTGACGACTTTCACAAACTATTGAAAGAATACAAGGACATCTTTGCATTCGAAGTCCATGAAATGCCAGACATTAGTCCTGATCTGGCGGTACATAAACTGGTCGTGGATCCGAAAAAGAAGCCGGTACGGCAGAAGAAGCGGAACCATGGCGAAGAAAGAAGTCAGGCGGCAGCCGCCGAAGTTAAAAAGTTTACTTGATGCAGGGTTCATTCGGCAATGTTACTTCCCAGACTGGGTTGCAAATGTGGTGCTTGTTAAAAAGCCGAATGGCTCCTGGCAAATGTGTGTAGACTACACAGACTTAAACAAGGCGTGCCCCAAAGACAGATACCCTCTGCCTAAAATTGATAACCTGGTCGACTCAACAGCCGGCCATGCTTTGATGAGCTTTATGGACGCCTTCTCTGGATTCCATCAAATTCCTTTATGGGAGAAAGATCAGGAGAAGACGGCCTTCGTCACTGATCAGGGGTTATACTGTTACACGGTCATGCCGTTTGGTCTTAAGAATGCCCCGGCCACTTTCCAGCGATTGATAAACACTATGTTTTTTGATCAGATTGGGAGAAATGTCGAGGCATATATTGATGATATGATTGTCAAGTCTAAACTTCAGAAAGATCATCTGTCGGACCTCCGAGAAACTTTCGCCACACTCAGGCGGCACCATGTCATGCTCAATCCCAAGAAATGTGTCTTTGGAGTTGAGTCTGGGAAATTTCTCGGATTCCTTATCAATCAGAGAGGAATAGAGGCGAACCTTGAGAAGGTGCAGGCGGTCATCGACATGCAGTCGCCTCGTACCATCCGAGAGGTTCAGAAGTTAACAGGTTGTCTGGCGGCCTTGGGAAGATTTCTAAGCCGATCAGGCGACAAATGCCTATACTTTTTCCAGGCAATTAAGAAAAAGGCAAGGTTTGAATGGGGGCCGGATGCTGAGGCGGCCTTCCAGAAATTGAAAGTTCACTTGCATTCCTTGCCGAGGCTGGTCAGCCCTTTGCCCAAAGAAGTACTCTACATGTACCTGGCCGTCTCTGATCATGCGTTAAGCGCTGTTCTCCTTGCTGAAAGAGACGGCTGTCAGCTCCCGGTCTACTTTGTCAGTCATGTACTGAAAAATGCCGAGTTGAGGTATCCCTTAGTGGAGAAATTTGGTCTTGCACTCTTCATGGCTGTTAAAAAATTGAAGCCCTACTTTTTGGCACATGCAGTCGTCGTGTATACAGACCAACCTATCAAGCGGCCACTGACCATCATGGAGTCGTCAGGCCGAATGATCAAATGGGCCATAGAAATACAGAGCCTCGAAGTCACTTTCGAGCCTAGAAAAGCAGTGAAGGGGCAAGCCTTTGCTGACTTTATTGTTGAGATG